TATATATAAAAAGTTCATCTAATAGTCATCAATTTCATAAAATATTTCTTAAACTTGTTCCTTTTTATTTATGACCAGTCAATAATTAAATTTGTCTATTTATACATGAAATTATTGTGTAAATTGATTATATTTACTCTAAATTTAATATTGATTTTTTTCACAGACAGTAATAAAGACCTATATTTTAACAAGATGGCTGACAAACTAGCAAATAAATTATGATTTGGTTGTCATAAAACCACTCACTATATAAAATAGGGTACAAAGGGTAAAATTGCAGATGGAGAAAAGAAAGACGAATATTCTAATTCACAGTAATCATTATTATCTTGTGAAACACCAATTTAAAATCCCGGAAAGTATTTTTGAAAGGAACAAAGAGATAAGAGAATTAGGCCATGCTTAAAATGGCTAATTAATCAAAACTGAATTAACCATAGGTTTTTGTTGTTTGAGTTCTCTTTTTTGTGATTTAGTTTGATTTATACTTTCTTTGATTCGTTTTTTGTTTCGCATAGTTGTTGACAAAACACGCCAATATAAGAAATTTGTCAACAAAAATTATTGTGTCCCTTTTTTAAAACCCTTTAACGTATTTGAAGATATTATAAAGTGTCCTCATTTCAATAAATGATCGTAAAAAGTTATCAATGAAAAAATATTATTTACATGTCCTAAATTTAGAATTATTGTGAAACTATTTTGAAACATCCATCAAAAGGAATAAGTAAGTAAAAACAAAATGGCGACTGAGGGCATTATTTTTTACATATCATCATTCATTATATTTTGGTTTATACAAATCCTTTCAAACTGAATAAATCAAAACTATAGGTTTTTCATGAAACATTGAAGATTAGACAAGAATTTCCAAGATATGAAATTGAGCTTCCTAATAGAAACTAGACAAATTAATACATTATAAAGGAATATAGATTGGATTTAGTTCCCATTCCCACCAAATAGGTAACCAATCGAGAAGATCCACCCCCCCTGGGCGCAGCATGCACTTTAGTGGACGGTCCGATCCTGCACCCATGGTGTAACAGAAAATAAAAATCAGATTCATCTTAAGATTAATTATTTATAACATGGAAGCGGTTAGAGAGCCAAATTTATATCAACCAAATTTTAAATCAGAATTTTTCTATATTTAACCTTTGCAATTGAAAATTATAGATTTAGTCCTTGTGAGGCATATTGAAATTTAATAACTTAAGTCATGTATTATTTCCCAAAAATAATTACTTAATCATGGTCTTTGGCAACCGTTAAGACAAAGTAGATCATTCTATTTATATTTTTGCTGGTTATTCTATTTTTTATTGTACGTTTTATGCTAAAATAAGCCAAAGAATTTAACTCTTTCTTTTTTTTCTTTTTCTTTTTTTAATTATTGTCTTCAAAAAGAAAACTTGTTGTTCAAAATAATGAATATAATATAGCTTTTTGCTTTTTTGAGCATATTATTTTTAATAACACTCAATTTTGGTCATAAATAGATAGTCCTTAATTATACTTTCTTAAATTGCCACTTTAACATGACCAACATGAGATTTTTTTTTTTTTTTTTGGTTTAAAATTGAATAATGTTATGAAGGTTTCTCAGATAACAATAATAAAAAAAAAATTTTAAAAAAAAATGCTTCATAATCAACTAAATAACCTTACCTTACAATCACATGCAAATGCAAATATTTATTTTCCAAGTTTATATCACAGGAGAATAGCTGAATTTGATCGTACCGTAATAAAATTACCACAGTTCTGGCCCCATCTGCCTCGTAGTAATTTTGGTAAAGATTTCCATGGGATGCCTGCCGGAATTTGCTTATCTATCGGGTTGTGAACCAAACAAATAGGGTTTTCTTCTGAAGAAGAAGGGCTTTTTAGCAGCCTTATCATTGTTAGCACTTCTCGCCGTTTACCCAAATAGGAACCTAACGAACTCTGTCCACCGCCGGCGCCTAACTCCACGGCCCATCTTTTCTTCCTTCTTTTGAACCCAATCAAATGAGACTGAAAGGCAATCAAAGTTAGGAAGAGTATATATAGAAAAGAGAGAAATAAATGGAATGATCTTAATGTCCAAAAAAAAAAAAAAATGTAGAATCTCAACCATCCAAATTCAAATTGGAACGGTTTGAAATTCATTATCTTATTATATAAATGCTCCACGGATTAAAGACAAAAATAAAATGTTATTTGTAGATATTTAAGGTATAATATGGGATTATTTGGGAAAAAATATAAAAAATAAAAAATAAAAATAGGAGGGTGTGAGCTGGCTTCTGTTGTTTAGTTCCTTTCAAAGCTCTTGTTGAGGACGGCAATGGTTCACGTGTCTTTTCCTTACTTTAGTTCCGGTAATAGTTAAGTAGTGAAACCGGTAATGCTCGTTGTAGAAAAAGGCTTTTCCTAATATTAAATTAGATATTCTTAAATTTTAAATAAATTTTTTAACATTTTTAAAAAATTTATATACATTTATATATGGAGTAATTTATAGTCGGATATCAGTTACACGTTTGCCTGGACATATCAATTCAAGGGTGAGATAATCTTCAGTTCGAGTAGGGAAAATATAGAGGTCCAAGTGAAGCATGCAAATTCTCATAACGTTTCAGTTCAGTGAGCATTTCACAATGCCCCAGAAAGCATTATCATTATTCATTAATTTCAAATGCTCAAAACAGTGAAACTGGCTGACATATAATTCAAAATATTAGCTCGCTAAATCATGAACGAGAAAAGTTTAATTGTAGGTTAGTCATTTCATTACTGGTACAGTTAGCGAAATATCGAATGCACATCTGTATAAAAACGCTCAAGATATCTAAAATGACTTGTAAAGCTTAACTATGAGGTGGAAGTTGCATTCACGTTGAGATAATCATAAAACACAAATATAACCACAGGAAAAAGAAAAGAGAGAGAAGCTTTTCCTAGCACATAATAAAGGAATGTACGTTGTGTGCTTTAGGCAAAGTAGGGGGTGGGGATGAGCCTGGTGAGTTGTGCAGGTGGGGAGCATGAAACATGAAAAGTGAATGAATTGGCGATCCCGAGAAACAAAGCAAATAGATCTCTGAAGAGAACAGAGACACAACACGATGACTCTCCTTTCCCTTTCTATACTCTTATAAAGGAGACACTAACAACCAAAAGACTCCCCCTTTGTCTCTTGTATACCACATAAAGAGAAGAATAAAAGTAAAGATGAACAAGTGACTAAAATTGGAGACGACCCAGAGGTTGATCACAACACAGTGATATTGTTTAAAAGCATGTTATATGAAATCAAATACAAAACCGTGAATATTGCTTTTGCATATCCAAGCAACGCTAACCAGAAATTCTAATAAGCCTGGTAGCCGATTGCCAGATTTGCACCTGGGAAATCTCCCAGGGTGGTAAGAAAATTAGCCGGTGCATCTAAAGGCAAATGAGAATATTGAAAATGGGACAATATGCATTGAATAGAAAATGATTATGTGGGTTACTCATTTCATAAAGAAAATTAAAATTTTCTATAACTACTTCAATCCCTTCCAAGCAAGAGGTTAGATTGACATTTACTTTTCAGAAGTTTGTTGTCCAGTTGAGATGACCCAATTGAGGCTGCTGATAAGCACCAACTTGTGCCCCAGGTGCAGCTGCAGCAACCCCAACTCCAACATTACCTCCCATAACTGGACCCATATGATGTGGATTTGCCATTGCAGCAGGTGTTGGTGGAGGGGGAGGGTATAAGCCCGGGAATTGCATATGAGAAGATTGTGCTGCAGCCGCATTAAAGGAAGCATGACCAGTATGGGATGGCAAGTATGCAGCATGAGGGGTTTGCCCAGGCATGTTGTAATATGGAGCAGATTGCAAGCCTGGAAGCTCCCTCGGATTCTGAACCCAAATTTCAGATGTCTCAGCCTGCAAAGCAAATGCAACAAATTAATTCTTTTCATGTTTTAAGCACAACAAACAAAGAATCTTAGACCTATTAATATCTCAGATCTGAAAGGCCATAAAAGCAAAAAAATAACCATAAAATCATAAAAATGTGCAGATATGCAACACAATGTGACATATTACAATGATTAGGAGGTAGAAGGTAAGAAACCATGTCAAACATACCAACTGAGGAAGTGTATGCCCTTTACAATATAGTTACTTAGCAAACAAAATGCTCAATAATATAACCATAAGGCCAAGAAAAAAGATTTAACCAACAATTTTTCAATACTATAGGAAATGAACCTGCGGATTAGGAACGTAGAGATTCCCATCTTTGTACTTGATCCGAGATGAATCTTCCAGGCCAGTTGCATTTCCAACAACACCTGGAGCATTGATGGCATACCCAGTTGGACTGGTGAAATTTCCAAATCCAGTGGGACTACTGCCAGGAACTGGCTTAAACTGCTGAATTCCATACTTGAGGCCATTTGCATTGAGATGGGAGCTACCTCCAGGCATCAGCAAGTAACTGCTGCCATTTGATGGATGTGGGTATGCAGGGTTGCTTGAATAGCCAGGCATGGCCATTTGTGGAACATAAACTGGGGAAAGAAACTGACGATATGGCATAAGATTGGCAAAATGTGAAAGATGAACTTGTGGGTACATCTGAGCAATTGGCGGCTGCTGCTGCTGTTGCACCATGGCTATTGTTGAAGTTGACATGCCGTTGGCTGTATGCGATGCTAAGGCCTGTAGATATGAAAGTCCAATGAACATCAATTAAACTTTTCTTACGCATTCACAGCATTAGATATTACAAGAGGCCACGCATGATTTTTGCACCCATATGCAACAGGGAAGCAGATGGGAGAGCGACAATCACTACATTATGCATACACCAAGATATTAAAGCATGAAAATTTACCTCTTGTGGAGATGGTAGACCCTGTCCACGTACAGTTTCATCAATTGGCGGTCTGAAATATGACATATCATAACCAGTTTGGGGATCATAGGCCTGGTTGCACACAAACAGATATCAAAATGATCACACAGATGTAAGAACAAGAACACTACCATAATATATTATCTCAAATCAAAGCTTTATTCCACTAACTATAAGAAGCCTTCCAACTAGCCAAGTGTAATCAGAGGAATAAACTCACTGAAAAGCTTGGTAATTCAGGAGGATCTTGCTGCTGTTGGGAGTCTGAAGGGACATATGATGGACTATTGCCTTGAACTAAACCAATATCAGCATAATTGTCCAAATTCGGGGGACTTGAAGACTTGTCAGGTAATTGAAGCTCGGACATTGCTCCTGATGTTGGAGAATCAGATCCGGAATTTCTAACTTGTTCATCTAGCAACTCTACCTGCTTGCTGCCAGAAGCTTCATCGCTGGAAGACTCCGGAGCAGATACTGACAAACTGCCACAGTACCATCATCATTCCATATTTAGCCCAAATAAAAAACGACCTGATATTCTCATCACCTAATGGTGATGTTCAATCAAGCTTATATTTGTAACCATGGACATTTTCAGATGCATAATAAACAGGACACTCACTAATTGGTGTTTGAATAATTTTTTTATACTTATTATTTTTATTTTGCTAATAGTCTCTTTCTTGTGTTACTACCTTTTTGTCGAATCACTCCTATTTTTGTCTTTCAGATAACTTGACTCAAGTATTTCTAGTCCTTCTCCAAGTTTATATCAGAGTTGTTGCAAATAATTATAATCCAGAATTCTAGGTTAGCCTCAGATTGAATGTTCCAAATCTGTACTACAATCGAAAGTGAACGTTTACATTGAATAAACACAAACCTTGCAGCAGATTCTGCATTTGATTCTTCAGTAACTGCTGCTTGAAATCCAGGGCTAATACTTTTGGAAGAATCAAACTCAGTCCCAAAACTGCCAAAGGTCAGCCTGCACCTGTCAGTTTCAGGGACTCGAATGTGTTGTGCTATGATCACATTCTGATTTTCATAGATGTTCACTTGCAAAAGCTTATCCTGCAAATCAGCTGCATCTGATTCCAAGTTCTTAGAATTATCAACAGGAGGAGAACCAGATTTTGTAGGTGTTCCAATAACCCCAGGACTACCAACACGCGATTTTTGGCTTGATTTTGGTTTCCACTCCTTATTATGCTGAGCAGCTGCATGGAAAATAAGGGATCACTTGATCAGTTATGCCCCACACTCACTAACATTCTATCCATCTTCCTCTTCACCCCTCCCATTCTTTCTCCATCCCTCCCTCAGTTAAGGTTAACAATATCCTCAGAGTTTGAAAAAGCAAATATGAATTAATTTCGCAGAGCTTTTTTATCCCATGAAAGATAGAGCAATTATTGCAATAGATTAACTAGTTACCCAACAATTACCAGTTGAAATGGATGCTTTTTTCATTCAAAAACATATAAGATCTATAGACACATAAACTTAAAAAGAAAGCTGCCACAAAACTAAGAAGACGCGAAGATATTTCCAAGCAGAAGAACAAGATACAAAAACAATAAGTGACGATGCAATGACATAAGAAGAATATCTCTAGACACAAAATGCTGAAACAAACAATAAATTACCAATAGACGAAATGTTCTTTCAGAAACAATATCCTCTTTCACATGAAACACAATAGAGCTTATCAAAAAGAAAAGCAGTCAGCATCTTAGAAAGTTGAAATAATAAAACAGACAATTTAACACCTAACGCTTTAAGTTGAAGAAGAAACAGTACTACCATAATCCCATCGCAACCTATAGTCGTTAAAAAAGAATACCAAGAGCAATGATCATCAAGGTACATGTAATAACAGAGATATCTAAAACAGAAGGCTACCTTTCTGATGGACCACGGGTGCTTGATGTGGCCTGCTATACTGATTACTTAAAAATGATCTGCTAACAGAAATACTGGGAATAATAGACTCATTTGTGACACTTTGAGTAACCGGATCAGTCTTGGAAATTGTAGGGAAAGGTCTAAATGATTCCGACAATGAATCGTCCCTTCCTAAAACAGAATTTGAGAAACCGCTAGATGCAGATGAATATTTTACTACATTTTCAGAAGATTGCCTGCGACCACCCACCACCCCAACCTCACGCTTAATAGCTCCAACAGCAGCAGATGGTCTGGATTCAGGAGATGGCACGTGAACAGGATCTGTTGAAGAAGAATACACCCCAACAACAGAATTGCTTGATGCCAGTGTTGCAGATTGTTGTTGTGAATTTGGTTTCATTACTTGTACCCGTGAAGTTGCACCTGGAACCACAGTCCGCTTTTCCTCAAATACTACTTTCCTGTCTGTGACATTTGAGTTAGCATCTCTGGCGTGCCTAGCTTGCAAATCACTAGGTCCATTAGAAGCTTGAAATGAACTCCTTGGACCAGAGGGCTTTATGTTGCCTGAAGTTCCTGATGAGCTGCTGAAAATAAAAAAGGATCATATTAGATGAACTAATAAAACAGTAATGATATTGCAAACAAGGAAAACAACTAAAAAGCAAAGAGCAAATGGATCAATTGCTTATATACTGAGAATTAAAAACCCAACCACAGTTCTCTTCTTTCCACTGTTTCTTTATTCTCTATAGCTTCATATTCAAAATGAGAGCACCCAGCAAATTTTGATGATATAACTAAGGTTAGTTTCATTAGCCAAAAGGGTGAAGAGAAGGAGAATCTTAGACACAACACATAATAAAAATATTTTGTAATGCAAAGCAAGCTCGACCTTGTTTGAGAACATTCTTTTATTACCAAAGGCTCAAGGCACACAGAAATTGCTCGCATTAGCAAACTGTGATGCAATTATTCATGTTGAAAAGTCTCCTATTTAGAAAAGATCACTAAGTATAAATAGCTTTAATAAATTCTAGTGATTGCAGACTTGAAATGCCTTTCACCACGTGTGAGGCACCCATTCACGCAATAACAAGTGTCTGGCTAAATGCTCCCTGCCTGATAGTCCTAAAAGCAACATTGCACTTTCCTTGCTGAGGCAGGAGGCACAGCCCGAGCGCCTTTACCAAACTGGTTCAAGGTTTCAGGTTAGTAAAAACATGCATAACATGAAGGCCAAACTAATACCCACCGAACACCAATAACAGCAAGGTTTTCTTACCTTTTCTATTAAAGAAAAGGCAATCAAATTGCAACATACTTGGTACAAGTAGATTGCAACCGATTACAAAATCACATTAAATAAAGCAAACTTATATACTTAGGACTGGAGTCATGTGATTAGTTCACCTGATTTTTCTTACAACTGCATGCAAGCCCTCAAAGGCCTCGCGGTTTACCAACTAATATCTCCTCACTGTAACTCTACTTCGAGTCAAGAAAACTAGATACTACTATGTCAAGCATTAATAAAAGTTACAAAGTCAACCACTAAAATAGAATAAAAACAATTATGAAGAGAGGAAAAGCAGAAAAAGAGATTCCAAATAACCATACCCTTTTTCAGTAACAATTGCAACGACTTTCTCATTGCTAGATGCTGAACTTTGTCGAGAGACAGGCTTTGATTCTCTAGTTGTATTCTGATTAACTCTGTTGTCTCTCACAACACGGAACTCTCTATTCATTCCTGCATTACCAGGTACAGCATTTCTCATGTAGCCTCCTTGTCTAGCATTGCGATCAGAAAAAATCCGTGTTTTTGCCCCTTGACCCAAATTCTCAGAATTTTTTCTTGAATCCACAGCAACTCTGTAACCCATACTCTGAGGCAATAAGCATATAAGTTCACGAGTAAAATCTTAGACCAGAGCAAGTACTTGCCAGGAAAAAAATTAACACAGCAATCTTAAAATGAAGAATTGAACTTCAATAGGACTGGGAATCTTAAACTGCAAAACACAATAGGATATCTTAAAATACCGTACAACCTACAATTATGTTTTATCTTTGAAGTTGAGCATTCAAATGCATTTATTATGTGTTCTAGAGATCCTCAGTAATGTGATAATGCAGAAACAACTTCAAAAGTTGAAATACACAAAATTACATTAACGGATGTTCAGACACATTTACAATTTATCAAGTGAAAATGTTGAGTCCATTTCTGTGTACTTTTGAAGAAATCAAAAAATATCCATTTCTAAATAAACTGAAAATGCCATAATAGAATTAAACAATTTTCAACAATATTACAAATTTCAAACATTTTCTTCAAATACTAAGCACAAAGCATGCCATGCCACTTCAACAAAAACACACATTACACGGCCTGCATAGCTAAACAACAGGAGAGGTATGAACAGAGAGAGCAGGGAGAGGCCAATACTAGAGAGACAGATATTTACAAGATTATACCTCTTTCTTCTTGTCCCTTTTTCTCCTCACCTCATGGAATGGATCTGATGAAAAGTAAATAAAAATACATGGTGATGAGAATTATATTTGAATAGATTACAAGTTACAATCTGAGAAATGACCCGAAATGGGATGTTCTCAGCACAAGTCCAAGAAGGGAAAAACTGATATCAGAGAAAAAAAAAATAAGAAATATCAATTCATAAAAACTATTACTATGTCCTACAAACAAAAGTATCTAGAAGTATTTACAGGACACGCCAGCACTCCATACCCTAGACCTCCCGCTGCTAACTTTAAATTCCACATTTAGATGTAGCAAAAAAGAACATACCCAATTCACCAAAATACAAGAAAAAGACTGCAAATTTGACAAATTAAACAAAACACAGTCATGCACATTCAAAAGGAGCATATCAATAACTTCGAATTGCTCAAAATAAAAATATGGGAAGCATAGCAACTACAAACAACGATTATTTACTTTTTAAAGCTGTAAACTTGTCTTTACAAGTTGAGGGCTATATTAACTCGGCTTAAAGCAGTAAATACGGATAACACCAAACACCAGAAGCAAAGTAATGAAGAACAGCCACATCCAAACAAATTGACTAAACAAAATCAAAACCTAACCCTAAAAACATTAACTTAGTGCCTCCCTGATAAACCCATTAATTCACAATTAGCAGCAAGAAACCAAATGTCCATCACTCAAGTCCCAGAAACAGCAAAATTCAAAGGCAACATAACAACCATAGCACACCCCCCAAAGGACACCCCATTGGTAACCTTCTTTCAAAACTCAATAAGATTGGCAGAAAATACAAATTACCCATCATTCAAACGACCAGGGACAGGCCAAAAACAAAGAAAAAAAAAAAGGAAAACGCAAATAAACCAAGAAAAAGAAACACCAAGAAACTCACCTTGATTAAGCAGCTTCTGAGCAGTCTCATTAGGATCCATGTTGGTCTCTTTAAGGGCCATATAGATATCAGCATCAGAGAAATTGCCGACAATTTCCTTGATCGATTGTATTGTTTTCCTCACTCTCGCTGAGAGTGTATGCGTCTGTGATTGTGTCCCAGTAGTAGTAGCAGCAATATTAGTACTAGCAGTGGCGACCATCGCTCAATAACACACTCCACAATCAAAATTAAACAATTATATCAATAGCAACCTAAAACAGATAGCTTTATTATACGATATAGAGCTTATATACCTATAATCTCACAAGGGCATAAGAAAAAGGTTAGGGTTTGCATTAACAGAACAAAGAACAGAAGAGAAGGGAGATAGAACGGCTTTGGGCGGAGAAGGGGGTTTGCGCGAGCGAGGGTTTTGAAAACGTTTTTACCCCTCAATGACTTCGCTGCTCAATTGGGGTTTTTACGATATTACGGATTTGCCCTAAATTTTTCACTTTTATTCCCTTCTTGTCACTCCCTTTCTAAACTTTTGCCGCTATTTCCTATAAAAAGAAAAAGTTTCTCGCTTTTCCTCTGCAAATTTTACGTGTTATTATTTCAAGGAACAATTAAAATCGATCCTTAAATTAGAAAATTAACATACGAGAATTTTTAATTTAAAAATTAATTATGAACGCATGATGCTCTTGATATCATGTGTATAGAATTTTTTTTAGTCTTTTATCACTTTGGTGTTCAAACAGAAAAAATTTATATTATATATAAAAATGGAAATAGGGGAAAAAAATGAAATTTTCTATATAACTCTTAATAAAATTCAAAATATCTTAAAATAGCTTTAATTTTAGCAAATTTGAAAAAAACAGGAAGATTGTTTTAGATTTTTCTTTTTTTAAGAGAAGACAATAAAAATTTTAAAAATATATAAAATTAAATTAAATAGATGTTTATATTGAGTAAAATTATTTATTTTAATTTTCTAACAAAATCATCATGTCAAATCTATTTGATTATAATTTTTTTAACGGTGCAGATACTTTCAAATGTTTTGTACTTAAAACACTAAAAAAAACACTCCTCAAACAAAAACAAAAAACATTATTTTTATTATTTTCCTCATCGATGAATCGGATTATTTGTGAGTGGAGCTTAGACTTTAATTTGTTACAATATTTATAGCTTATAAATATAAGATAGATTAAGGTTTGATCCCTTTCTCTTAATTCTCTAAAAATAATATATAATTCCAAACCGATAAAATAAACTTAATTTGAATTAGAGAATAGATAAAATTCAAAATTACATGTTTCATGAAACGGAATTAATATTTTTAATATTTTTTCCATTTTCAACTTCTTGGGGAAAAATGATGTCATAATTAGCTATTTTTACATTAATGTTGATTTATTGAGCTGGTGGTCAGCAAAAACTCAAGCATTCGTACAAACTAGAGTCCTTGTTCTTTCTTTTTAACTCCTTTCAGTGATTGTAGCCGCTGAAAGGGATGAATTCAACATAACACACTGTTTGGAGCAGGAAAGAAAGAGTGGCAAAAAAAACACAATCTTTGTTGGAGAGAAATGTAGGAGAAAACAGAAAAAAGAAAAAGGGAAGAAGCATTAAAAAGCAAGAGAGTTAATGAGATTAGTCTCATGGAGTATATATCACTAAGAAGAAGACATTAGACATGTATGAACATCATAATCAACACTTTCCACCAGCTTTTCTAATTCTGCACCCATTAACCAAATTCCAAGGCATCCCAACAATTGCGCATCATTAAGTCAAATTAAAAGAAAATAAACAAAGGGAAAGAATAAAAAAGGACATGTTTAGCAGACCAAGTGGCTATGAGGTGCAGTTGTGAGAAGCTTTGTCAATGGAAGTCTCAAAGCCCATTAAATGTTTAAACTATGTGAGTTAGAAGGACAAGAAAGCACCACCTCCCGTCAGTTTGCTAAATCATAAGTACTGTTCTTGTATCCTGGCTCGATTCTCCTCCCACCACAACCTTGCATGCATTTCTCCAAATCTTTCCCGGCTGCTCCAACACAAGCGAAGAAATTATAACCAGGACAATTTACTCATATATGATTTTGATTATTATACTTCAAGCATAATAGATACACCATAAAGTACTGCTAAGTAATCAATAGAAAAAGGAACATTGAAAGAACAGTCGTAACAAGAAAGATATAGCAGGCCCCTGCACATTTCAGGCAGGAATAGTATCACCACAAGTAATACTTAATATCAACAAGGCCTACAGTTCTAGATCAACCAAGAAGGTCTGCGTCAGTGAATCACAACTTGTCTTGGGCAACTGAAACCAAACTAATGTTAGAGATGGCACCAGTATGAGAAGCATTTTCTCATTCCTTGATTCAAATTGATATGATGAAACCGCATTCTAGAATCTGCTCAAAACCGATTGATGAAGTACTGTTTACTAACGGACCGCCTAGGTGTATCTATTGCCAAGCTAGCATAAGTCTTCTTACATTTAACAGTTCCTATTTCTCAAATCACTACTTCCTCCTTCCACTTGTATCAGTTGTTTTAGAGAAGTTGTTTTGTCCAAAAGTATGTCACGTAGAAGATTAAGGAGTACTGATTAATTTTTTCCAATTCTATCATACTTCTTCTAGACATAATGACTATTGTGTACAATTTCCTAAAACCTATTTTATCGCCTATCTTTTTTGTCTCTCTTAATTTTATGGAAGATTAATGCTAAATATTTGAGTAATTGGGTGATTAATCAAATTAAGAAGTATTTTGTTATAATTTAGGTGATTTAGTTATCCTTAATTACCGTGCAAAAGCCTTAGAATGACAGATAAAAGTGGATAAAAGAAGTACCTTGCAGAGTAGACTCTCCAAGTTACCATCTTATTAGAAGTTAGAAGTTAGAAGGTAAAATGCAAAATCAAGGAAGCAGAAGGTAATATCATAGCAAGTTCAATTAATCTCATTCCATTTTTTAAATTACAGAAGCCCACTAACCTGAACCTGACGCGCCTAAGCTCTCGGGTGCCACCTGGCATTGCTCTGATTGTGATGTATACTCCTGGTTCATCCTGCTCAACCCATTCAGTTTCCATATCACTTGCATTACTGATGGAAAGCTCTCCCGAGTGATCTGCCTCTCTCGATGAACTAGTCCTAGCAGATCCTCCCACAGATGATGCCTCAGTTTTGGCCCCACTAATGCTAGAGAGCTTTGGAGTTGAAGCAAGAGCAGCCGAGTCATAATATTGACGGGATTGCATTGGGTGGTGGTCAAGTGAGTCTGAAGAAGAATATCCCATTCCACCTGGACGATAGAAGTTGCGGGGGCGTTCTTTGCCTAGTGGTGGAGTCACGGGGCTGTCTTTGGCAGATTCAGGCTTTGAGCTCTGGAAAAGAAAGAAACAGAAGCGTATTTCCACAACAACATTACTTCTACATATGGTAAATTAATTAACTTTGTTCTATACATAAATGAAAGAAGAAATCTGTACGAATGAACTCAACCCGCAGAAGGCAGTAAAAAGTTGTAAAGTATTTAGCATGAAATCCTAAAACACGAAAGTTCATTAAGAGGAACATAGACCCTGAAAGTGATATTTACCACAATGCAACAAAATTCATGTTAAATGCTATACAGAAGCAAATAATTCATCCAAAGCATGTTAACAGCAAGCATGAGCATAAAACATCTGAATCATAACATATCACGGCGCAAACAGATGATTATTAAAATTTAATTTGGGAGCACACTTACTTCATCTTCAGATCGTGGAGGAGTTGGAAGTGGGACTGCTTGTTGATTGAACCGTCGAACATTGTATAATTCCATAACCTTGTCATAGTTCTCTGCCCACCACCTTTGAGCTTGCCATTTGTTGAATATTTCTCGACTGATCAAAATATCAAAAAATGACAAGTATTTATCAACATTAAATTGCCTTTAGCAAAATGTCAAAAATAAGAAATGCAATTGTGGTAGTATTATCATAACTTGATCTTTAAGATGACCAAGAAACTGGGTATATATGGTTGCTGAAGTAACTGGTTTGCTTAACTGTTGCATAAGAAAAGCTGCATTTATCTTCGCAAAGAGCCAAAAAAATAAATAAAGATTTCACAACTTAGGAGCTTACTGTATATGATTCACAGCATCACAAACATGGACCATTGTGTGATAATTAACAAGCAGCATGAAACAAAACATGAATCTTTGTTTTACAAGAAAAAGCTGGTGCACAGACCTAGAAGTCGATAGGAATAATACAAGGAGCATCACAAGAACAAGCAACAAGAAGTGAAGGAGAGATGGCACTTTCATGTCTAAACTCTGTACCCAAGAATCTTAAAGCACCCTTAGAAAACTAGATCTTAGAGGAGGAAAAGAATCAGGGGAATGAACTCCTCATATCATCACATTTCTCACAGCTTTGACAATTAAAGCAAAGCTGTAAGACAAAGTCGAAGTCCTAAAGTAATACCAGTACCCTACTGCCCACATTTGGTGGGCACTCCAACCCTAGTATTCATGTGATAGAGAAACAACTAAAGCAAATTTGGTACAATAGTATTCATTGACAAGGTAACAAAGAACAGTGTCAAAGTGCTTAACTTCATCTAGCGTCAACACATCAAAGAAATATGATCACATTCAAACAAATGAGAAGCTTCAATATCATATAGCGGGAAAGAGAGCCTAAACTGCAACAGATGATTGCAGGATAAACCAATTCCAGCTCTCACTTTCAAACCAATTATAAGTGAATGATCACAATCAAACAAATTAAGCCTTTGGCATTAAGAAAGAGACTAACCTCAAAGGACAAAATCAACATGACCAAATTACAATTAACATGTCCACACAAGAGGGAAGGTGACCAAAATTCAAACAAATATGAGCTTAAGAGTCAGATTATCAACAAGCAAAATTGTTCCAAAAAAAATAAAAGCAAACTGAAGTAGTACTTTTACCTGAAACGAATCCGCTTGAGATCATTCCCACCCTGAGGCAAAGAAACAAAGGTAATTAGAACACCAGGTTCCACTTGTGCAACCCAATCCTTAGGTTCATCTTCCTCCATAAACACCACCGACTCTGTTCTCCCACTAACTGATGCAGGTGTTCCTTCGCCACTTGATAACCCTTTTAATCTCGCCTCCATCTCTTTCCCCCACATTCTCGGGGTTGAATTGGAACTCCCTGTTCTACGGTATGAGCAGTGAAACCTTGCTGATTCTGAGGCAGCATCAGAGTCAACATAATTCCCATTACGGTTATTGTTTGATAGTCCAGAACAAGGCTTGCAGTTTCTGTATGCTCCTGATGCCTTTAATGCCATATCCTTTATCTGAAAAACAAAATAATTATCTACCATTAACGAGAAAATGGAGAAAATTTTTGAAAAAAAAAATTAATTAATTAAAAAAATTGAAAAAGTCAACTTAGAAAGGTCGTGTCGTATGGTTCTTTTTTCAGATATTGAAAAAACTCCATTATCTCAATAAGCAGTATGGATTATTGAGTAGTTTCTGTTCCAAAAAAAAAAAAAAAAAATGAAAAAGAATTAAACTCATTATCTCAATAAGCAGTATGGATTGATAGTTTTCTGTTTCAAAAAAAAAAAAAAAAAAAAAAAATGGAAAAGAATTGAGCCATACAGTAGAAGTGAGCCCATCTCCCAGTTGTTCTATTCTTACTCGAAAGTTTTTGTTTCCATAAAATGCCAATGTAACAGAAAGTAGCCCCTCAGCTTCACAGCCATTTGGGGTTGAGGGTATTGTTTTTTGCGTCTAAACTTTGAAATCGCACCATTACTCTTTCATTGGTTGCCCAGGAAATGGACAAAGAGAAAGGAACAGAAGAACAATAATGGATTTTGTATTTCTCCCAACAATAAAAGACTCGACTCATTGAAGCCAAATAGTTAGATGAAGAAAACTGTATAATCCTTTATTTCTTGGTCTTTTGTTTTCCGCTTCAACTCCTTGAGATAAGAACAAAATCTCAAAACTCTGATTCTGCGTCCTTTGCTTGATTTTCTCAGTAAACAAACAAAGACTAAAGCTCAAAGAGCTTAAGCAAGTATGTAAATACCTGAGCAGTAATAGCCTTGATAGCCTGCCTAGTCCTGGGCGTCTCCAGGGCATCATCCTCCTCCCTCTCTCTCTGGTGCAGAGATCCATTGTTAAGCTGCTTTGAACAAGCTATACACGTCAACATCCCCAACTTCTTAACTACAATCTAAGCCAAAACCCAGATCAGAGTCACCATAGAAACGACTAAATCAACATAAAAAAAAAAAAAAAAAAAAAAAAAAAAAAAAACATAAAAAAAAAAAAAAAAAAAAAAAAAAGAAGCACATACATGATTCTTAATATTATATAAAATGCGTATCAGTGAGAAAAAAAAAAAAAAAAAAAAAAAAAAAAAAAAAGCACATACATATTTATATATTATAAAATGCGTACATGAGCTAGAATTTTAGAAGGGTACAACAGCTCCTTTCAGTTTCAAATGGTCACTTCAATTTGAGATCCCACTACAGGAAGGGGAAGAGAGAGAGAGGGGGACTTTAAGAAGAAGATGTGGGGAATGCGTACATTTACATAGCTATAAATGCAAGAGAGAAAGAGAAATGAAATGACCGTTAATGGAGGAATCAGGACATGGGTATTTTGGATTAAAATGGCCTTTATTAAAACATTTCACTGCCAGTTAGAAAGAGTAACAACTAAGAAATACAACACAAACAAGAAACTCCCCTTCTTCTTCTTCTTCTCTCTCACTCAAATCACATCAAAAATACAAACAAAAAGAAAAGAACAATCCCTTCTCTCTCTGAAAAGCTTAAAGAAGACTCGATCAATCGAATCGAATGTGTGCGCAAGTGGCAGGGTAAGAGCTAAAGGTTAAAAGTCAGTATTTTTAGGCTTTAATTGGATAGATTTGCGTGTGATTTTAGATGGTAAGAGTGGCGGTGGTGTGTAAGTGTAGTGTTATGTGCGCGCGGAGTCTGTGCGTGTCCTTTGTATTGTGTGCGCCACCCTAAAGAGAAAAAAAGCTAAAAAGAGAAAAAGCAATTCATTTGAGCTATGCGCTAATGTCTCATATGAACGTGGGAGCAAAATTTTTTGATCTTCAAAGCGAATTTTACACTTTAGATTGTTCTGTTCTCTTATCTTTTTTTTGCCAAAAATAAAAGTTTTTAGCCAATTCTCGATTACACACTTTTTTTCAAAATCCAACCAATTAATGTCAATAAGACCAAATCTAATTAATATTTTCAAGTTGTATTTTTTGCATTTAAAATACCATCATTAGTAATTCTTCTTCAGGTATAATAATTTTAGATTGTAAGGCCATTTTAGATGAAAGCCAATGTGTTAATGTTATATAGATTAGACGGCAAGCTACTATAGGTGTCCATCACTTAGATAGAGCATCTTACCGCTATGCTCGCTTTTATGATTGTGAATCCATCCCTACTTGTTATATTTTTTTTTATCGAATTATATTAAGTGTATAGATCTGATCCAAATCTTCGATATTAAATACTGGAAAAAGAAAAGTCTTCTTCCACCTATTTATTACATTTTAGATGAGAAAAATCAATTTAAATTGAAGTTGATGTCTAAATTAAATATTAGTCATCTTATATTATTGTATCAACAAGTGACCCAATCAAGTTGTAATGCAATTCTTGAGCCACTTGAAATTACTATAACCAAGAAGATAGAATATGCTCTCAATTGTTGTAAAATACTACAATTGGTAAATGTTGAAAGAAAATTACAAATATATCACTTTATACGATGGAGAAAGATTGGTATACCTACAAAATTTAATAGCAATAATTTTCATTTTTTTATAAAATACAAAGGGTAGGGGTTTTCAAATTGGAATACTTTTAACCACGCGAATTTTCATCGATTTAATAAATATTATTTAAAATGAGGCAAGGCAATTCTATATGCTCAACAATTGTTTCAACACATTTTAGCCTCCAATCAATGAAAAAAATTAATAATGATATGATAAAAAAATATACTAATACCTTTCGCTAAATTAAATGTTCTTATGTTGGAGTTCTGTTTGTCATCTTTAAATTTTGTTAAGAAATCAATGAATCAATGCGCCCATTTGCTTGCTCGGACCGCTGTTTCTTTATCTGGATTGGGGTCCTGTCCATTTAGGTGTGATTCACCATGCTTTGTTCCTTGATTCAAATAATATTTAAACGATAGTTCCATTAAAAAAATAATAAAATAACAATAAAAATGAGAACTTTTTTAAATGAAATCAACTTTTTTTTTTAATCATTTTTAACAACAAACTTCATAAATATAATAGAAGGAATACAAACAAATAGGGATAGATTTCCAAACTTAAAGATTGGCATTTGAGAAGAAAGTTTTTGCAATCAATTGAAGCCCAATATTAGATTGTCTTCAAACTCATCTAACACAAATATTTAAACAATGAGTTAAAACATTCTTACTGATCATCGTCAACTGTTGATTAATGAATGAAAAATATAAATATTGACAACAGATATATATATTTTTCACAAAATTAAATCGAAACTTATGTAAAAGATTTACTAGAAATTATTCACAAGAAAAAAAAAGTCATATTTTGCTTCTTTTTTTTTTTTCTTGGTAAAAAAAGAGGAAAGCTAAAAACTAATTAGAATATAAAATGTTCAATTATAAGATTCATTTTTTCATATAAAATTTTGAAAATATAATTAAACACAATGGTGATGAAATTTTCATCCAAGAAAAAGGTGCTTCTTATCATTTCTTTGCCAGCATCAATGCATTGGTTAAAGTCAGATTTGAGTTTTTAAAAAACAGTTATAGGTGGTCCAAATGGGCATTTCTAGGGCACAATTCTTTTTTACATGTCTACTTGGCAATTTTAGTTTGTAGCATCTCACTGCAAAAATCGAAGGATTAAATTTGATATTGTAAATTTTTTTAAAGGTCGGTTCAACTTGGCATATTATTGTATGTATTAAATTTATCTAGATTGACCTAAATCAATCAGTATAAAGATTTTTTTTTTCAAATTATTCATATTTATTATTTTTTCTCCTATAAATATCCAAAATATCTCGGTTTTAATAAAAATTTATTTTTATTGATTTAGTCTATAGACTAATTCGATATATATATATATATATATCACCTTAAATTAATTTTTATTTTTCTTTTTTATAACCAGCAGGGGTAAAATCAATGAGATAATTAATAAATTTATACATGGTTGCCCTACCTTGAAGAATATGGAGTAATAAGACAATAAATATATTAAATGGAGTTTCTCTCTCCATTGAAATTTAATCATGGGATATGGGATACTTTTATGTGCACAGTAACTATATCAAACGTTAGATTAAAATGTTGATCTTGATCAAATGGCTAAAAATTTAATGCAGGAACAGTTCCTGTAGGTTTTTAGAATATTTTAATAAGGTATGGTTGCAGAATATATGATACTGTCACGTGAATTATCAATTCTTCTATGGCCTTGTATGCATTAAAAATTAATTCTTGAATTAAAATAAATAAAACGACATGGCCGCTTAACCGTTGATTAATGAGGAATTCTCTATGTCAAGAAATACACAAACGACATGGCCGCTTGACCGTTGATAAGGTCACCGAGGAATGGAAATAAATATTTTGTAGGACCTTCTTCGCCCTTCCACCATAAGGTCGCTGTTGTTCTCCTGCAAACTCACTAACTGTTCTGATCTGTAATTTTAGTTCAGTTGGGCCCGTTTCTGACATCTTCCCACTTAAAGACCCACCATCTTCCATCTTCTCCGTTTCCTGTTCGTCTCTAATAGACCAGCACTGATTCCACAAAACCCGGATACTAGTAATTTGTCAATTTCCTGAGTAAATGCCAGTTTTCTGGTTTTTACTATTATAATTTGTGTAATTAACGTTCTTTACACCACCCTCTATAAAATAATTGCTGGCCATACCTCAACCTTCGTAAACGTGACAAAGCAGATTCAATTTTTGAAAAGTACGTTTGCATATTAGTGGACCGTGGATATAATAATTATGGAATTAAAATAAATGTTGCAATTATTTTCAAGATAGAAATAATTACACTGGCATTATGCATGATACTAGAAATCTTTTTTTTTTTTTTTTTTTTGAATCTTTTTTTTATTTTTTTTTTTTTGAGATGTCATCATTTTTCCTATATTCATAAAAACAATTATTTTTTCCTATTCCGTAATCGCTAATTTGCCTTTTTTTTTTTTTTTTTTTTGAGATGTATATTTTTTCTATATTCATAAAAAAAATTATTTTTTATTCGTATATATTTTAGAATGTGTTACTATAAAAATAATCAAATTGGTTGGTAGGCACGAATGTATAGTGGCTAATGAGGCATATATAAATGCAAAATTTAGTTAAAGGTTTTTATCAGGAGAGGGACAGAGCCCACGGTGATAGTGTGAACCCATGTGATGGGTCCCACGTAGGTCGGGCCCACAAGCCACTCTTTCCCTTTCGTCCTCCGAGTCCGATATCCCCGTAAAAAGGAACCTCTTGTTTCTCTCCCTCTCTCTCTCTCTATTATCAATTGCCCTTGTCCCGACAAGCTAAGGCCACGTTTGGCTACTCATTTATCGTTCATTTTAACTCTTAACTTCAAATGAGCAACTAATTATATTTTCTGAGTTAATTACCTATACCGCATGATGAATGCTTTTTATTTAATATAATGTATGGTATGGCATTCCATATCACTTCAGTTGGAAAGCTAGTCACATGGCTAAGGGACCATCATTGCAATCTAACATTTCATGTACTGTTTATTGATTGAGATTCTAACAACACTTGTTTGGGGAGACATTAGTTGTCTTAGAATGAAGTATGGCCAGCAAAAGATCAGGTTAAGCAAAAGCTTTAATTTAATATATATTGCTTGTCTTTAAGATGACATTAATCTTCCTATCCTAAACCCTAAAACACATTAATTACTAATTAGGGCAAAATTTGTAGACTAAGTTGTCTCTTCCAGCTAAACCCTATGGAGGGCTTTGCAACTTTCTGTCCTGTCAGCCTGTGGAATTGTTTGCAACTTTGGTCATTTTTGTGGTGACATAAAATGTATTTTGAAATGCAAAAACTTTGTGTAAAGATATGCTTTGCTTTGCTTGCAGCCTACAGTTTAGGCTGCTGTTAAAGTAGTAGCTGTGGATATAATAATAACAAAGGACAGATAAGTAAAAGTATTAATTGTTCAAATAATTTTTATTTATTTGTACAAGCATTTTAAAGCCTTATCTATGAATTAAATCGATTGTAACAGAGATTTTCTAAATATTGAATTTTTCTGTTTCTTAAAAAATTTTATTTTTTTATTAGTTGATCTATAAATAGACCTATAGACAGGATCTAAATAAATCATTATTATATGATTAGATTAATATCAAAATTGAGGCTTGCAGCTATACATTTTCATAAATAGTTTTTTATAGCTCAAACCTCTAATTTCGCAGGATCATTCTCTAAATTGAAATGTGTCTTATCATTTGAGTCGCGCCTTATAAATAATTATAAACTATGCACGTTGTAAATATTTTTTAGTTAATAAAAAAAATAGTAATAAACAAACAATATTGATGCCAAAGTTGTACTTTAATCAAGGTTAACCATGTGCATGTACAAAATTGAAGTTGGGTCCATAAGTGTATAATATAATATTATTTTTGTTCCTAAAGAACCCAATATTCAAGCCCAAACCCAGAACAAGATAGTAAATGGGTTGAAGATTGGTTTTCACGGGCCATGTTAGACTTTTAGTTTGGTTTAGTTTTAATGACGAGACAGACTGAACGACGACCGAAAATAAATTGTCGTCTACAAACAAAGACGATCTTTGAATTGTCGGCTAAAGTGATTTTCTGTGGTTATATAACGTTTCAAATAATGCCAAGGGCCGAATATTATAAATTCAGAAAGTTTAAGTAGTAAATTAATTGAGAAGTTTAATCAGTTATTTATTTTTTAAAGACAGGAAAATAACCATGGAAGATGAATAAAATCTAAAAGAGTTTTCCTTAATTGAAAAAAAAAAAATAAATATATATGGAAGATGAATAAAATCTAAAAGAGTTCTTCCTTAATTGAAAAAAAAAATTACAATATAAAATAAATATATATATATATATATATTTTACTTTCAATTACCCGAATGAATAAAATTCCCCTTAAACCTTTTTATTTTAACTTCAACTTTTGCAAGGGATTTAATGTACCTCTTAACTTGATTTTTTTTTTTTTTTATCTTTTACGCACTTATTTAGTCATAGAATTGAGTGTGAAATATAATCACTTTTACATGAAATTTTTTTCAAACACGTCAATATACTTTATTGCACGTGCCAATATACTTTATTGCACGTGCCATTTATATGTGCTAAACCAATTTATACCTATTAAAAATTCCAAAATCAATTAAAAAATCAAGTAAAAACCCATGTTTGGACCAAATCGGATCTTGATCAATCCAAATCAGCCCAAACCTAAATCTATCTTCTCCCTTCTCCCCGATTGTGCACAGCCCTTCCCTCTATTTTTTTTTTTTTTGATCCCTCTATTTTTTTTTTTTTTATCACTTAAGCTTGTGTTCTAGCCAGCCTGACTTCTCTCTCTGCCCCACCTACCCTTTTTTTTTTTTTTTTTTATCACTAGCTTGTGTCTAGCCAGCGCTGACTTCTCTCTCTCCCCACTTTCTACCCCTCCCACTCCACTTTTTGATTGATCCAAACCTGTCGCCATTGCCTCTTCACCATTCTCTCCCTCTCCACTTTCAACCTATGTAGTGCAGCAGTGGGGGAGGTGCTGAGCTGCAAAAAATTGATTTTAGGAATTTTAAAAATTCAAAATCAAAATTTCAGAAATTTTATCGTAAAGAAATTAAGGAGGAGAAGAAAAGAAAATTGAAAAGAAGAGGAATAGAGAGAGAAAAATAAAGAGAGAAAATTGAAAAGGAGAGGAGTAGAGAGAGAGGAAAACGAAGGACATAATAGTTACTTTCACAATAGAGATAAGGGGACATAATAGAGAGAGAAAAATAAATTTTATATTTAGTTTCATGCGCTGCCTTTAAGAAATGATAATTACAAAATTTAAAATTAAAGAGCACATTAGTTCCTTTATAAAATTAAAATTGACAAACGGTTAAAATAAAAAATTCATAAGGAATTTTATATATTCGGCTAATTTAAATTTATTATTTGAAAGAATACCGTAATCTTACCGAAGAAAACAATTGATAACGTCATTTGCTTATTTTGGAGGAGTAGAACACAATTCAAGAATGTTTCATAAGTAAAGAGAATACTTTAAAATTTCACATTTATAAATTATAACAAATTATTTATTTGCTTCTAGATGTATGTACAATTGAAGTTAGAACCAGTTGGAAGCTTGGTAGACGCCAAGCTGAGAAAAAGGAAATAAACAAATAAATAAAAATAACCATATTTTCAATAAGTTTGATTATTTGACCGAATAAGTTTAATTCAATTCGCTTTAATTTTTTTAAATTTATTTTTTTATTCAAGTTTTTCTAAAAAATAAAATTTAAAATTACTCGAATGATCAATTTGATTCGATTTTTATTTAAAACAAATAATTTCTCTGTGCGTATTTCGGTAAATTGGCAAATTTGTACAGTACACACGAGAACATGTCACCCGCCAGTCAGTCACCAAAACGGCTACCCGTTTCAAGGTGTTTCTAAAGCCGCCAATCACGATTATTCTCCTCCATTCGCTAAGGTACTACGTCCTTCATGTAACAGTCGGCTGACACAACACCACCCAATATCATTGCGCCACGACTCTATCTTTAATTTGCTTCCATATTGTGGGACCCATTACACTCTGTCCTTTACCAATCATTATATACCACGTTCGTAATTTTATATTAACCCTTTTTATATTCGAACGAATTTATTATCTCACCATCCACCTTGACTTAACCCTGCAAGTGCAACAGATTCCCGGCGAACAAACAACAAAGCAATCTGACACCGAAAAACAGTTATTTATAAATATATATTTCTCTTTGCGGTCTCTGCACTGTGTTTCGGTTTTTAAATTCCTTTTAAAAAGCTCTTTTAATTTTATCTTAAAGGAATCGGCTTTGTGCTCTGGAGATTAGCGTTAATGGACAGTAACTATTATAATAAAGAGATTGGAATTTGTTTTTTTTTTTTTCCTCAAGGAAAGTTTTTTCGGTTCTTTTTGTATGTTTTGTTTCCAGAGTCACTGTAAGTTAATTGGGGAATTTGGGCTTATAGGCTTTTCCATTTCTATGCTTTTAGCTCATTGCATTTGATTTGTGTACAAAGAGAAACCATTAGTCACTAATCAATAATCAGTAATCAGCCAAAAATGGCTCCAATTCGACGAAGAAAATCAAGAGAACCCACTAATAGCTCAACGGATTTGAAAACACCGAGCGAGGAGGACGAGGAAGAGGAAAATAATAAAAAGAAGCACCCAAAGAAGAAACCCACCAGTGTAAAAGGAGAGGAGCCCGGAAAGAAACCAAAATGGTCTTGTGTGGATAGCTGTTGTTGGTTTGTGGGATGCATATGTGTAACATGGTGGGTTTTACTGTTTCTTTACAACGCAATGCCTGCATCTTTGCCTCAGTACGTCACCGAGGCTATCACGGGTCCTCTGCCCGACCCACCAGGTGTGAAGTTGAGTAAAGAGGGATTGAAGGCAAAGCATCCGGTGGTTTTTGTTCCTGGGATTGTTACCGCGGGGCTTGAGTTGTGGGAAGGACACCAGTGTGCCGATGGCTTGTTTCGGAAGCGGCTTTGGGGTGGAACATTTGGAGAAGTGTATAAGAGGTACGGGATATTGGTGATTTCTTTCTGGGTTTTTAATTGTTTTCTTAAAATTTTTCGTGCTCTGTATTTGTTTGGAGAATTGGAAATGTGAAACTGCTTGTTGTTTGTAGGAATCCTCTTAATCTTCAAGTAGCAGCTTTTATTGTTTAGTGTTTCGTGTGTGAGTGTAACGGTTTTAAATCCGTTTAGTAGCTTAGGCTGCTTCTGATTAGCATTACTTTTCTAATGGTAAGCAGGGAGATTTCTTTTTTGGGCTACTATTCAGCGGTGTTAATGTGGTTCGTTATTAAGAAGACAGTTTATAGTTTCTTACTCTTATTGGATAAGATGAACTTGCGATTAATTAGTTGGTTCAATTGCTAATTATTTTTCGTTTTTCCAAATTTATGGGTAGTTCATTTCAATACAACTTTCCGTTTTGGATGGTTGTTCGTCAGACTGGTGATTGACACCAAGGATGAAAGAAGGCGTTCTAAAGTTACTTATGTATAGACACGTAAAAATGCCTTTTTTTAAAATTTTTTTTTTTTAGCTCCTGCAAAACTCATGTAAAAGGCACATCTTGATGATTAACATGTAGTTTGTTTTTGTAATTAGCATATTTGTCTTGGACCTTTGTTTATCTAACCAGATGCATTATCTAAATGAGTATGGTGTTCCACTTGTTAATTAGGCGCATAAACTCTGAAAAGTATTTAGACTTTTCAGTGTTGCTTGAATGCTTTTAATGCTTGGTCAAGTAACTTTTTATTCTATCGTTATTTGGCAGACCTCTTTGTTGGGTAGAACACATGTCACTAGATAATGAAACTGGATTGGATCCTCCTGGTATACGGGTTAGGCCTGTTTCTGGACTTGTGGCTGCTGATTACTTTGCTCCAGGCTATTTTGTGTGGGCAGTTCTGATTGCTAACTTGGCACGCATTGGATATGAGGAGAAAACAATGTATATGGCCTCATATGATTGGAGAATTTCATTTCAGAACACTGAGGTTTTTACTTATTATTTTTTTCTATCTTGAATTTCTTGATTGTGCTATAGATGCCTTTGGAATTTATTTCCAAACTCCTATTCTTTTCACAATGTAAATAATAATATATATCTGTTCAACTGAATTAATCAGGTCCGGGACCAAACATTAAGCCGCGTGAAGAGTAATATAGAACTGATGGTGTCTACAAATGGTGGGAATAAGGCTGTTATTATTCCACATTCCATGGGTGTTTTGTACTTTATGCATTTCATGAAGTGGGTTGAGGCACCAGCTCCAATGGGTGGAGGGGGTGGACCAGATTGGTGTGCTAAGCATATCAAGGCAGTGATGAATATAGGTGGTCCATTTTTAGGTGTTCCAAAAGCTGTTGCTGGGCTTTTCTCTGCTGAAGCAAGAGATATTGCAGTTGCCAGGTTTTTGCAGTGATCTTCTTTGTAGCTTGTTTAGATATAAATGTAGCTTGATAGAGATTATGGAAATTCTTTGCACTGTGGATCAGAGAGAATTAAAACTTGCGGTAAAACAATGCATTTATTAGGACACTTTTTCCTACATGTGGCTGTTATTTGAATACATACCAACACATTTATCATCCTTGACCCTTTTTCTTGTTGTGCTTCTGGCATAACCTACAAGTCTTGTTCAGTAGTCTAATTTTTATTTGGCAGTCTATTCACTTCCCCTTGTTAATACACAGGCTTTGCTTATAAAATAGAAAATGCACTCATCTTGCCATAAGTTTTGTTGGCATGTTTGTTTCAAACTCTTTGGTTTTCTCCTACTGACACATAATATTTTGGTTTTAGATAGATGTTTCCCTTGTTCCAGTGATTAATCACCTAAGTTTCCTCTTAAGTATAGTTGTTTCCCTTGTATAATTGTTTGTTCTTTCAAAGGCTTAAAGCTAATTGTGGTGCACATTGTTGATATAACATTCAATCGCAAGCTAGTCGCCAGGCTAGGTCTAACGGGAAGCACTATGCATCTTTCAAAATTGTGGGCTTAAGGGTTTTCTCTCTGTTAGACACGAGTATTTCTGCTCGTTTTATCTATTTTCACATTTAAAGCAAGCAGTTTGCAGATAGATTTGGACAGAGTGAATGATCTTTTAATAGTTTTATTTTCTTGAGATGATAAATTGCTCTCTTATTGTTGATGGTCTATTGAACATACTATTATCTTTCCCATTGGACATATTTATGTATAACCGATGTTAGCAGTCACATTCTTTTTTTTTTTTTTTTTTTTTTGCTCGTTTCTCTTCCTATTTCACATTTCTTCAAAGCACAGCAGTTGCAGATAGCATTGGACACGAGTGAATCGACTCTTTTAACTAGTTTTATTTCTTTAGATCGATCAAATTGCTCTCTCTATTGGTTGCAATGTCTATTCTGAACATCACTATTATTTCCCATTGCGACACTATTTATGTACTAACCGATGTATAGCAGTCACATTCCTTTTTTTTCTTTCTTTTTTTTCAGCTCAGCATCTTAGTTGCATGTTTGTTAAAACAACACTCCTAACTGCAGGGGCGGTTGCCCCACCAGCTTCTTCCTTTGGATTAAAGATATATTTTCCCCTTCAGCGACATCTTGCAACATATTATGAAGACTGTCTCGCAACCATGCATTCGACTGGAGTTCAATGATACCCAAAAGGTGGGCGACACTATTTTGGGGTGGGTCTTGATTGGGCACCCCGAGGAACGATTTTTTTTTTTTTTTTTTTTTTTTTTCAGCTAGCATTTAGTGCATGTTTTAAAACACACTCCTAACTTGCAGGGCGGTTGCACCAGCTTTCTTGGATAAAGATATATTTTCCCTTCAGACATTGCAACATATTATGAAGATGTCTCGAACATGGGATTCGACTATGTCAATGATACCAAAAGGTGGGGACACTATTTGGGGTGGTCTTGATTGGGCACCCGAGGAAGATTATGTTCCAAGCAAGAAAAAGCAAATGAACAATGGCACCAAAAATGCAATCCAAGACACTGAAAGTAAGATTTCTCAAAGAAAGAATGTTAATTATGGAAGAATTATATCATTTGGGAAAGACGTAGCAGAAGCACATTCATCTGAGATTGAGAGGATTGACTTCAGGGTAAGCCTATTGATTCTTAATTTTGGTGATGTAGCAACTTCTTTAAATATTTTAAATATTTTAGGCTAGCTTTGGATGTTTCTTCCATATACTGCTTAACCAGGTCCTATAGATTTAATATGTTCTACATCTTCACACTCTTGCAGTTACTTTTACCATAAGGTGTTGCAGTTTATCTTGAACTTCTTATTTTAATGTGTATTGCTGATTTTTCCTTTGGCTTGGACAAATTATATATTTCCCTTTCAGGAAGTAATAAAATTCTCAATATTTTCCGTAATGTGTTCCTTGCTATCTCAATTTGCAGGATGCTGTTAAAGGTCAAAATGTTGCAAACAATACTTGTCGTGATGTGTGGACAGAGTACCATGAAATGGGATTTGGAGGTATTAAAGCTGTTGCAGAATATAAGGTTTATACTGCTGGATCTTTGATAGATCTGCTTCAGTTTGTTGCACCTAAAATGATGGAGCGTGGCGGTGCTCATTTCTCGTATGGAATTGCTGATGATTTGGATGATCCGAAATACAAACACTACAAATATTGGTCAAACCCCCTGGAGACAAAGTGAGAAATCATACTCTTTTCAATTATTATTAGAAACTTAATTTGCATTTTCTTCATCATAATCATAATGGTCCTGCAAACATGATGGATGATTGCAATATCACAAACCCTCATTTCAGTAGGTATGCTTGTCTGCTGATTTAAGTTAGTGCATATAAGTGGCTGGATTTCTTGAGGAAACCCAAGTTTTTTGGTGTTTCAGTATTCTTCATATGTAAACAACTTTAGCAGTGCTACAGCAATATGAATCACAGAATTTAAAAAATTAAAGTGACTGTTGTTGCTCAAAGGAAAGTTGATTTATCAAGTTTAACCATGGGAAACTCTGTAGGGAAGAAAGTTATCTTGTTACTCTTGTTTGTGGCTTATTAGTTCTATAATAAATTCTGCTAATATACCATCATAATAGTTGATGTCATCTCCAACTTTCTATAGTTTGATACAGTGGAATAATCTTTGTTTCTTTTCATATTATCGTTGTCATGTAATAAACCTCTTAATATCTGTTTTCAATTATCAGTAGTTATATGCCTCTTGCATTGTGATCTCTCTCTTCCTCTCCCCTTCCCTTTAAATGCTTTCCAATTACTTGATTGAGCTACTAACTCGTGATAATATGTGTTTGGTGTCCATATTGACTAAGCTTTATCTGACATGCTGATCTTACAGGTTACCTAACGCACCAGAAATGGAAATTTTTTCCATGTATGGAGTTGGCATACCGACCGAAAGAGCTTATGTTTATAAGTTAGCCCCTTCTGCTGAATGCTACATTCCATTTCAGATTGATACGTCAGCTGGTGGAGAAAATGAAGACAGCTGTTTGAAAGGTGGAGTCTATACTGTTGATGGGGATGAAACTGTTCCTGTTTTAAGTTCAGGCTTCATGTGTGCTAAAGCTTGGCGTGGGAAAACTAGATTTAATCCTTCAGGAAGTCGAACATACATTAGGGAGTATGATCATTCTCCTCCGGCGAATTTTCTAGAGGGCCGGGGCACCCAAAGTGGTGCCCATGTTGATATAATGGGGAATTTTGCTTTAATTGAAGACATAATGAGAGTGGCAGCTGGGGCTACAGGAGAAGAGTTGGGAGGTGACCAAGTTTATTCAGATATCTTTAAGTGGTCTGAGAAGATCAACTTACCATTGTAATTGCAAGGTGATGCACGAAATTTTTAACTTAAATCAGTGCATTTTTCAGTTGGTTATATCCGTTTATGCATGCCCTGCATTGTCATGTACATAATTTTAGCCGTAACCCGGTCATTTCTTCTCTTTGCAGAAATGTGGGACCTGAGGATACGAGTGATTCCATGAAAACAGCCGCTTTTGGCTTGTGCTTGTCCTGAACATTATAATTCCTAAACAAGGCATCTAAGCTTTCTTGTTTCTTATCTTGATGTGATTTAGAAGAAAGCTGCAAAGCTGGCTGTAGGATATCAGATCTAAGTTTCCATTAATGTGAAGTTAAATTGCAGCTGTTTTTGATTTTATTAGATTATATTTGATATCCATCTTACTACATTTTGTAATCTTTGTATCTGGAATTTTTGAAATTGATGTACCTTAACACGTGTCTGTAACTTTTACAATCTAATTGAATGTGCTTTCCTTTGAAAATGGATACTTCTCCTCTGTGTTCTTCAGAAGGATTTACTTGTTTTCTGTGATAATTGCAGTAGTTATTTTTAGACTGTAACCATGATTAGTTAAACTGTGGTGTATAGCATTGTTGCTGTCTTAAATTAACACGATAAGTAGTTACCTTCCTTTTGATGTCAAATATCACAATCATCTAGTTCTCTTTTTTGGGCTGTATTTTTTTTTTATGATCCTCAGTTGACTTCTTAAAATTTTCCCAAAATAATTACAGTTTGGAAAGTTGCTTGTTAATCTCTCATTGATGATTCCCACTTTGGGCGATTGAAATGGCTGGTATCAGTGAACATTAGGTGTATTGCCTATTATAGGAATCAGAACCTTTTTTACATGCAGAAGTTTCTGAAAATCAACATGCTCTTGACTTTCTTTTATGGAGTGGTTGATTTTCTGTTTCAGAAACATGAAAAAGGAAAAGAAAACAAAAATATTATCAATTTTATAAAAGTTCAATGATTCAAAATGATAATGATTCAATGTGTGTGTGCTCAGGTTGGATATGAATTTTCCAATGTTAGATCATTACTCAGGTTGCATATGGATTTTCCATTGTTAGATAAATCATTCAAAATTCATATGCATTGTGAGCAAGTGCTTTGGACTTGTTTCAGAATCAAAACTTGGAAAAAAATTGCTTTCACAATACACTTGTAGCACTTAATGGTTAATGACATGCATTTGGCAATTGACGAAATTGAAATTGCGCTGGCGAAGACGCGTGGAAATGATATCTGGTAGTCGATGACTGAAATCCACGACACACCTTAAACGTGATCCAGTGTGTAATCTCGAGTATCAACAATCATTTTGGCTTTTCATGTAAAGTTAGTAGAACCCTAATTTGGATGAACATAATAATTAAGTCGATTTTATAGAAGATTGAATTTTTACAATTGGATGGTAGTCTAGCAGTCAAATGTCACCTTCAATGTCTCTAACCTTGAATTGTCTTATATCTCAACAACATTTAATTTGGAATAAACACGTGAAAATTAATTCAACATCAGAAAAAACTGAGATTCTATTGTTTTATGAATATTAATATATCACAATATAATAAGTTTCAAACTTACTTCTATTTTAATACGAGCAATTTCATTTTCTTTCTTATTATAATTTTTTTTTTTGATATATAAATAATTCTTATTAAAGAAAATGTAATATACTTCGGCACCTTTTATACATTATTAAAAATATATCAAATTATTTTTTAGAATCATTTAACATTTTTTTGAGAATTGATACATTTAACATATTGTATACATTATACAAAAGAAAAGGTGAATAAAAAAGCAGTTAAAAACGGTCCTGGTATCGTTATTGTAGACTCGCCTACACATACACATGCCTCCTCCGTTTCGTGGTCTTTTCAATTCATCGCCTTTATTTTTCACATTTCTTGTCCAAAATCGCCAAAACCTCTCCCTCCTTCCTTCCCCTCTCTCTCTCTCTCTCTCTATCACATAGAATCCTTTTTCTCTACAGACATCTATTTTTTTATCTACATGTACTTGCGCCTCGTTGTTCGTGCTGTGATCCTTTTCGCTTTCGAGCCCTAGAACGGAAACCCTAACTCACCGAGCGAGAGGGGGGCGTTTTGTCGTAAATTGTACAATAATTACGTTTATTTAAGGTTGGGGATCCTGTTCTTGGTTTTTCTCCTTAGTGTTTAATTATATTATTATTTGCTTACTCATTTTGGTGGATTCGAATTTTAGAAGCTAATCAGCGAGGCAAGGGTACTATATTATTGGTTTTTAGCTTCCGATTTAGGGTTTTTAAGCGGTTCAACATATGCGATTGATAATTTGAAGCTTGTTATTCTATGAAATTAATTGCATTTTATCCACCACCAATTGGTATAGGTTTTCTTTTCTTTTTTTTTTTTTTTTGGTTCTGGGAATCCTTTTCGCTTCGAGCCCTAGAATGGAAACCCTCAAACCTCACCCGAGCGAGAGGGGGGCGTTTTGTTCGTAAATTGTTACAATCAATTACGTTTCATTTAACAGGCTTGACGGATCCTGTTCTTGGTTTTTTCTCCTTAGGTTAATATATATATTTGCTTACTCCATTTTGGTGGATTCTCGAATTTTAGAAAGGCTTACATCAGCGAGGCAAGCGGTACTATCATTATTGGTCTTTTAGCTCCGATATCTCAGTGGGTTTCTCTTCAACACGCGGCAGTTTCACACACTTATGCGCATTGATAATTTTGACGCTTGTTATCTCTAATGAAATTAATGGCATGTTTATCCACCACAAATACTGCGTATAGGTTTATCTTTTCTTCTTCTTTTCTTTCTTGGTCTGTTAATGCAATGTACAGATCTGTTTTATTGTTACTCATGTAACATGGGGTCTTCTTATGCCATATCGTGTCTTTCTGCTGGATTGCGTTTTGAATTTCGATTATGCTTGTGACCTGCTTTCTTAGTCACTTAGGAATGTTTGTATTTGTTGTCTGCTGAAGTATGATTTTCTGGTCAGAGAAGGTTAACCAATTTGTTCTGCCTGTTCCATTTCTTCTTCCTTTTGCTTCGTTCGTAGTGCTGTTAATATTGTTTACTCCAGCTTCTTGCATGGTTTGAGCCTGTTCAAGGTATTTTTTATACCCACCTCTGTACCCGCACGCAGGCTTTACTTGAATCGTGTCATCCTATCGTGCGCTTGTAAAGGTTCATTATGCGCATATGCATGTATTCTTCTTGAATTATTACGAGGTATATTTGGGTCCATTTAACACGTGATTGGACGATCCAGGGCGCTATTTATTTTTTTTTTTTTTTTTTTGGTTGTAATGCATGTAATAGATTGTTTTTATTGTTACTTGTTAATGGGTTTTCTTATGCATATTTGTTTTGTTGATTGGTTTGAATTCTGTATTATGCTTGTACCTCTCTTAGTCACTTAGGAATGTTTGTATTTGTTGTTGTGAAGTATATGATTTTTGGTCAGGAAGTTATCCATTTGTTCTGCTGTTCATTTTTTTCCTTTTGTTCGTTGTAGGTGCTGTTAATTATTGTTTACTCAGTTCTTGATGGTTTGAGCTGTAAAGGTATTTTATACACTTGTACCGCAGCAGGCTTTACTTTGATGTGTCTATCTATGTGCGCTTGTAAAGGTTATTATGCATATGCATGTATTTTTTGAATTTATACGAGTTATATTTGGGTCCATTTAAGTGATGGAGTCAGGCTGTATTTATTACAAACCACAAACCACTGGTGAGTTGATCATAAAAAATTGTTTAATTTTGTTTCTGTTTCTGAATGCTGTTTCTTTTTTTTATGTTGAAACATACATGTTATGTTGGTTATATAAACTCGACTGGATTCAACTAAGCTTTAATCTCAATCAATTTGGTTCATATGAATCCTTCAAACATATGTGTATAATTTAGAATAATTTGGTTATTATTTGCACTTTTTCTCTCAATAATTAGTTGCTTATGCATGATGTTTTTTTTGAGGCATGTGGTTTTGGAATCTGTCCATTATCACTTAAGTTTGTCAAAAGGTGAAGAAAAGATCAGTGGTATTTATTTCAATTATGGAATAGGCCAAGTGGCCAAGCCAGTAAAGCATAGAGTTGATAAGAATTGAGGACCAAGGGTGCATGAGGTTTTTCGGAAATTTCTTTTCTGAAGCTTTTGTGTTTTAGAATGATGCTTAATGGCACATATCCTGAAATTTTTATTAAAAAAAAGTTCCAGAGTGCCATACTGCACAGTGTTTAGAGTAATGCAGGCCGATTTATAGTGGAAGGGGGAGAAAAAGGGAAGGAACAGTTCCATTAATTAAAGAAGGATTTCCTTAATTGTGCTTTGAAGGAACTGCTCTTAAATTCTTACGCCGGTCTTAATTTGAAATAATATATTGTTATAATGGGATGCTGGTTTTTAATACCCCTTGTTCTGCTAAATCTATTGAATTTAATATTTATTAGTTAATAGGGTTCGGTGATTCAATTAGTAATTCTAAGCTGGAGGTTCATATGAAGGACAGTTCTGGTAATAAACCATGTTGCAAAGCTAGTAAAATGAATTGGTTATGGTATTGGTCCATGAAAATGCTATTTCTTTTTACCCTAAAAAATCAGAATCCAGAAAAACCAACATTGCTGAATACTAACAAATAATTTCATTCATTTTAGCCACTGCTGATGCTGCCTTGTGCATCTCAGGTTGGCCTTTTGACGGTAATACATATTTTAGGCTCCTAATAATATATTTTGAACTAATGATGCACTAAATAGAAACTGCTTTAAGCTTCTCTGTTGAATAATTTCTTATATCATACTCCATCCAGGGTCACATTGCTGCTAGCATCTTAGACCTCTGTACATTTACTGTTATCTCATTTTTGTAATACCCTTTTCCTTGAAAATCTCTTTGTTATTGCACTTGTCTCTCAATTGTTCTTGCTTTAAGCAGTCTATCCAATTGGATACTCATTTGTCTTGTTGAACTGATTTCAAGCTTGTTCTTGTGGTTAGAGGGTGTTGCCATTACCAAGATGAGTTTGCAACAGTCTACGCAGCCTAAATCTTATGCTAATGGATTTGGTCGTAGAAGAGCTGAAAGGGAAGGAGGAACAAGATTGGACAATAAACTGCAATCTGGAAAGTCAAATCTGAATAGATCAAGTAACTCGGGTGCGCTTCTTTACTAGTTGTCACAAGCTCTGCATTAGATTATTACTTTCTAACAGTTTTGATATAGGTGCTGGTGTTGGTGGCAAAGTTGGTTGTGGGAGTCCTCGCGATCGACTGATTTATTTATCAACTTGTCTCATTGGGCATCTTGTGGAAGTCCACCTGAAAAACGGATCCATATATTCTGGGACATGCTACACAACAAATGTTGAAAAGGAATTTTGTATGTTGATTTTATTTTTTTGAAAATTTTTACCTTTTTTTAGGTCATTGTAAGTTGTTTTTAGTCAGTTCTCTCCCCAAAATTCATTCAGTTGTCCTTTTCAGCTATTGTTCTGAGAATGGCTCGCTTGATAAAGGATGTTCCTTTTAGAGGGCAGAAGGCAGAAACCCTTAGCAAGGCTCCTTCAAAGACTTTTATCATACATGGCAGAGAAGTTGCACAATTGATTGCAAAGGTCCTGCTGAATCTTTTTTGTCTTTTTTACAATTCTGAAGTTATTGGTTTTATTTGCTGGCTTTGATGAATGTTGTTTAGGTGGAACGTAGGAGTGGAGGGAAAATAATTAGTTATTAGTTGATTCAATGCTATGCACGTGTTTTAGTTATGTGAGATGGTGCAAATTCTTTATGTATTATATTTTAATCACCAGTTATTTAATAAAGTTGTTTAATTAATGGTGCCAGGATGTGTCTGTAACAATGGATGGGATGAACCGTGATTTCCAAAATGAAAAGCAGCAGGAGATTATAATAGACTCCTTAATATCTCAATCCCGTCACAGTGAATTTGAGAGAGAGCTGGGACGTTGGGTCCCTGATGAAGATGCCCCACAGTGCCCTGAACTAGAGAATATATTTGATGCTCCTTGGAATAGGTGGTTATAATTATCTTTTCTCTCTCTATTTCTATTGATAAATGATCCACTCTTTGCTTGACTGGATAGCAACTGAATACTTTAGTCATGCGAATCTTTTTGTTTTCTTCTAGTTTTTATATTATAGCTTTTCTTTATCCTTTTTGTTGTTACCGGAGTTAGGATGCTTGGTGTTTTTTTATGGGAAACTGTAGAGAATATAATCCTTGAAGAATGACTACTATTGTGCTCATTTCATAAAGGTTATCTCTGCTTAAATGTGCTCAAGCTGCATCTAATTGATTGCCAAATATGTAAATGCCATAATGCTATATGGTAACTGATTTCATGTAAATGACTGTATTTTCTACCTGTATGGTTTGAGTTTGAGGAGCTAGAAGGAACTGGTGATTGAGGTACAAGGAAAAGCTATATCCATATCTGATTAAGTATTTGCATTGGGAGCTGTTGGTAGTTAGAATGTACTCTCCCATTTCTCAATCTATTTTTTAAAATCAATTTATATGTATATATTTTGTATTCTTCTATGTGATACTAATTTTTTATTAATCTACGTGATATTTTACTGATATGATGTATTTATGGTTTTTTTCCCTTTTTAAGTTGGGGTTGGGATCAATTTGAGACAAATGAAATGTTATTTGGAGTGAAAAGCACCTTTGATGAGGAACTTTATACAACAAAGCTTGAGAGGGGTCCTCAGACAAGAGAGTTGGAAAAGGAAGCCATGAGAATAGCAAGAGAAATTGAGGGTGAAGATACACAAGATCTTCATTTAGCAGAGGTGGGTTTTCTCTCTGTCTTTAAGAATATCTTGTGGTTTTATTATTCTCTGGAATTTTACATTTGTCTGTCAATTTGTTCAACAGGAAAGAGGCATACACCTTCATGAAAATTTTGATATCGATGAGGAGACCAGATTCTCGTCTGTATATAGAGGTACAAGGGCTGATGATAGTGGATATGAGGAAACTGAAGATATACTGTTGGATTCTCGCAATAGTGAAACCTTTGGTGATGCACCTGCTTCTTACTCTACGAAGTCCATGGATTTGGCCCATGGAAAAAGTGATGATAGATCTCAAGTTTTGTCAAGCTCTTCCTTGGTAGGGCCTTGTTTATTCTCTTCTGGCTAAAATAGAGTTACAATAGCTGTAGTAATTTTTGGCATTTTTGACAACCATGCTTGTGGTTATTGAACATAGGTGAACCACTTGATTTGATAGCCCTTTATTTATACTTGCTCTTTCTTTTTCAAATCAAAATTGCTATGTAATTTTTTCCCTCCTAAGAGTTTTAGATTTATAAGTTATCTGAGATATGGACCTAACTTGGAGTAAGCAATCATTTACAACTGAAGTCAATTATTCAGGAACTTAACACAAGTTGCCACACACCAAAAAAAAAGAAAAAAAAAAAATTGCTTAGCCTGGTTCATATTTTCCCACTATTGAATTCTGGTGGCTGTATTATTATGAGATCTTTATGAAATATTCTAAATCATCCTCTACACTTTCTGTTGGTAATATTAATAAATTTAAGACAACTGCTAATTGCCCCTCTTATTTTTGGACTCTTGGATACGATATTTTTTAAGTTCTTTCTCACAGTGTTCTTTTTGTTCTTTTTGAATGATTATTGGTTATTTTAGTACTCATGTAATAATTTCATGTTTCTTGGCACACAGGATGAGGCACAGTGTTCTCAGTCATGTGGTAATGCAGATTTATATCATTCAGTTACCCATGAGCAAGCTAGACAGCTGGCATCCGAGCTTCCATCTAAAAATTTGTCCACTTCAGAGAGTGAAAGCAGGTTGATTTGAAATTGTTGCTAACTGGCTTAATGTTTTGTGTATGATCATCGTATCAGTTGCTTGCTATTCCATGAAATTGAATTACATGGGCAAAATGTACTTGTTGTTTTGTGGAATTCCTGAGTGTGTTTCATTTGGAAATTATAGGATCATAGAGAATCTTTGTGGTGAACATGGAGCAAATGACAGTAATAAGGAGTTTGTAGAAGAACAAGCTGTAAGTCAACACTCGTACATCTTCAAACATTATCTAGAGGAAACTTCCTCCAGAATTAGTTTTGGGTCTGTTTTATTTAACATCAATATTTTTCAATTCATGTTTTCTTCAATTACAGCAGGCTGAAGGTGCTCAATTGCCGACACGCGATGGTGAGTTAATTAGTCTACAATACTTTTATTTTACCCAACTTTTAAAGTTGAAGAAGTGCTAAACACAATAACAATCGGTGAAATTACGAACTTTTTTTTTGCCTTACTTTCCTTGCTTTGAAATTTCGTATGCAGAAGAGTGGGATGATTACATTTTTGCCAGTTATAATGCATGGTGAAACAATGATTATCTTTTTTCTGTTGTCATTCATTATTTACAGATTCTCAATCACCGCTGAATGGAAAGAAAGATAGCTGTGATAAAGGAGGACTATCTCCTAATGCAACTGCATTTGCTCCTCCATCCAATGTTACTTCAAACAGTAATGAAAAGACAAGTTCTTCTGCTGAATTGCCAGAAGGTGCTCCATCTGTTAAAGGAGCCGGAGAAGTGCAAGCTGTAAACTCCCGTGGAAGACCTGGCAGTTCTACATCATCAAATTCAGATTGTGTGGGTGCTGTGTCAGTTTCCAATGGTCCTGGTTTATCACCAAGCTCATCAATGGGTTCATTATCTTCAGAGAAGTCCACACTGAACCCTCATGCTAAGGTGTGATTGGTTTGAGGTTTTATGTTTTCTTTATGCAGTTATAACATAAATATAATTCACAGACAGAATTTACCATATAGATATAGATGAAGGCCACACACTGCAACTTCTAAAAAATGATCTCTGCTGTATCTGACATCTTCTCATTAGAAGGCTAATGCATATGGTTTTCTTTGTTGCCCGCTACTCTTCTCAAACTGTGGTTACAGGAATTCAAACTTAATCCCAATGCCAAGAGTTTCACCCCTTCTCAAACACCTGTTAGGCCTCCATCCCCAGCATCGGATGGTTCCTTCTATTTTCAACCTAATGTTCCTGCTCTACCACATATGCATGGCATGCCTATGGGAATTGGAGTAAGTACCAAAGTCTAGCTTTGTTTATTGTTCCACATCTTATATTCATTTGAAAAAAAAAAATGGAAATCATGGTGATCTGCTGCTATTTCTATTCATTTTCCACTAGTGGTAAATCTTTCCACACTCTTTAGCCTTAGAATGAACCTATGTTGGTGATATCACTAGGCATTCCTTCTAGTTTTGTTTTTCGCTTTACTCAAAGTGATAAGTCTGGTTATTTATTTCTTTTGACAAGCATGTGGAAATTGGAATTATTTTCTATTATTGCTATAGAATATTACCCCACATGATTATTACTGGATCAAATAGGATGTCATTCAACATTTTATGCTTACAAATGCCTTGACATTTAACTCAGACCAATATAGGCGCATGCACACAGACACATTTTTCAAAGGCAACTTTATAAGCGGTGCAATAAAAATTCTGTGCCTTAGAGGTCACAATTGCAGACTCCATATGTTGAGTTTGGCTTGTCATAAATTTGGCTAACTTCAATTGATTTTGCAGATTGGACACTCATTTACTGGCCACCAGCCAGTTATATTTAATCCACAGGTCGCATCATTGCAAACACAACAAGCATATTTTCATCCAGGTGGACCTCAGGTATCAAATGATATGAAATTTGTATAGGAGACTGTCAGGTCACGTGATTCTTAAGTACTGATTTGCATATTCTTCTAATTGCAGTATGGGCAGCAGATGCTCGTTGGCCACCCCAGGCAAGTATTGTACATGCCAAGCTACCAACCTGTAAGTGATTCTGATATTCCTTTCTTTAAATTTGAAGAAGATAGTTAATATTGTTTTTTTACATTATATCCATTAAATTGCAAATTTTGGCTAGGAAAAAGAGAGTCTTGGCTTTGTTACATTACATTTGCTAGGATCTGAGATATATTTGGTTGGATATTTTCATTTTATTATCTTTGAAGACTGAATATAGTGTAATAACCTGTGTGGATTTGAAAGTGGGGACTAGTATTAAGTTTATTTTGTTTTGACACAGGAGATGCCGTACAAAGGACGAGAATTTTAGTAAAGCTGATGAACATTCTTGGCAGTTCCAGTCTGCTCGCAACAAATAAACTTCTGAAAAGCTGCTTGGAACAATTTTCTAGGATCTAAGCCCTGCAGTCCATGAAGATATATATAGCTCTGAAGCCCCATTTCTGCCTTGGGGGAAGTTGACTAATTGTGGGATATAATTTTTACAATCTTGTATGCTTCATTTACACCATGACTGAAATTCTCCACATGTTTTTAACTAGTATTTTACAGTGACTGTTTTATTTAAATTAGTTTCTGGATCAAATTATGGTGCAGAGATTTGTGTTCTCCCATATAAATTTCTCTGCTATATTTCCATGTTCTGGTGTTGAGCTACTGAATCACTTGGTGAGCCGTCCCTTTGAATGTTGATATCAAATGTCAAGAAATCAGGTGTAACCAATGTTCTCAATTATGTTCGAATATTAGGATTGCTAGTAGGTGACTGAGGAGAAAACGGGCATTTCATGTGGTAGGTAAGAGTTGAATAGTCCAATTAAATCTTAAAGATTTCGTCTTTGCCTTTTTCTTTTGGATTAAAGAAATGGAATGTCGGTAATAAAATGCCCATTTTCTCCTCAGTCACCAAAATTCAATTCAGTTCTTTTTTTGTAACCCTAATAGCAATACAACAGTGGTAGTTCTTACATTCGATAATTATCACTTATTAGGAAAAATAAAAAATGGTAGATAGGGTAAGATTCCTATCTTCTTAGAGAGAATGAAGGGATCAATTGGTCTAAATCTAATTAGCAATGTTTGGTTCTCATATATATTTTTTATCATTGCAATTAGCTCGTAGCCTTGATGAGTTTAATATGATCTTATCTCCATCATGATCATCCATATACTTATTGTGGATTTTAATTTTTAAAAACTCAAAGAAAACAATAGCAAACTGCCAAATAGAAGATTATAATAATAATTTTTCTATACTGAAGGCTGAAATGAAACTGATTTTTCTGCTTTGTATTTATTATACTACCACCAAACCATAATAAAGAAGTGACTTGACATCTCATCCATTTGCTTGTCCAACGGGTCTACTCTGTAAGTATGCTTTTTTAAATAATTTCCTATTAAATGCTGTTTCAATTTTCTTTTTTCTTTTTTTTTTTTTGTTTCTGACGTGAAATATACTCTTTTTCTTCTCCCATTATATTGATTTTGAAAATGTTGGGCAAAAATTCATTTCTCTTGAAAAATTGAATTGAATTCTTGTAAAAAGACTGTTAAAATTGGAGATGGATTCAATTTATTTTATATTATTCTCTATTTTTAATCATTTAAGTAAAATACATAATGTATTTTTTGATACGGGAAAGAAAATTTACTTCCATAATTTGATAATTCTTGGAAACTATTCCAAAACGTTACAAGCTATTCCAAAACTAAGATGAACATTTTGGTCATTCCATGCAGCATTACAAATAATTATATTATATTTAATTTAATTTCAGATCGAAAATATATATATATATATAAAGTTCTCAATTTTTTATATATAATTTTTTGAAAAATTAACTTAACCGCTTTTATCAAATTTCACATTGACATACAAGATTGGGGTGAGAGAAGAGTTTTTCCACTAATTACAAAATTAGCAATTAGGGTGGATAAGCTAGTCATATCATGTCTACTTTCCATCAAGAAGCTTCCAGAATTCATGATAAAAATAAAATAATAATAATAACAATTGATGGCAGTTAATGTAATAATTGCGGGGTGGAAGGGTAAAATAGTCAGAGAAAGTTTATTGGTTTGATTCTTCTAGCCTTAGGGTATAGCCTAGGGCTTGTAGGGAAGCAGAGCTGGCTCTCTTTTGAAGCTAGAAGAGAGAGAGTCTCAATGACTTTGCTTGACTTCTATGAGACCCCAAAATCAAATTTGGAGTTACTTCAATTCAATTTCCTCCTTGGTTAAGCTTTGCACTTAAGTCAAGATGTTGACCTCAAAACTGCCCTCAACTGTAATTCTCTATTTTATTTTAAAATCTTTTTAAAAATATTTGTCATTATCAGAGTAAATACATTATTAATTTGGTGAAATTTTTTTAGTTCTTGATAAAATTTAACTCCTTAATATTTTTATATTTAAAATTATAATATGGTAAATTTAATCCATAAAAATTTAATTAATATAAAAATTATATTTTATTTCTTATTATATTTAAAACTCAATAAAAAAGCAGTTCCAATTTTTTTATTACACTCATTAACATAAATAAGAAAGTTAGACATAAAGAGACAATAAACTAATAACAAGTCAATGTTATTGTATTATGGTAGGTTAGGCAAACAGCCTTTTTTTTTATATATATATATATATAAATATAAAAATATATGGAAAATGGATAAGGCTTCGGATAAGGCTTCTAATTTATTTATATTTATATATAAAATAATACTAATGGATGTACTATTTGGAATCACTAGTATTTGTTGAAAATACTATTAATTATTAATTATTCATAATATGTAACCAATCACTATCAATTCTAGTTTTATATTTCTTGAAAATATCATAATTTAAAGTTTTTTTTTTAATGATTTTGATAAATCTTTCGAGGATTTTAAAGTTTTAAATAACTAATTTACTTAATTCATAAATTTTTTATTGTCTTGTAAAACAATATATACTATTAAATTTTTAAATATATTAATTTCTAAAATTTTTATATATGAGATTAATTTTGCTTGAGGTATTAATTATTTCTTTCAATAAATATATATTTCTAACATTTTAAACTCCTATAAATATATAGTTAAAGTTGCTTTTAGATAGTAATATTCATAAATTAATTTAAGAATATCTCAAAGAAAAGAAAATAGAGAAAGGAATGGATAATGGGATATTATTATATTTTTTATTAATAATTTAAAATACTAGTATAATTGTCTACAAGTAAATAGCGCCTGAAAAAAGCAGAGCACAGGTGAAAAAACGAGGGCGGCTGAGGGTATTAAAGGGAAAGTAAAAAAAAATCTGAAACTCTGAGTGGAAATTTAATACAAAAGCATCACCATTAAACGACAAAAACAAAACTACTTAATTACCAATTATAACCTTAAAAAAAGAAATTAAAATAATAAAAAAAATAAAAAAATGAACATCAACATAAAATGGACAAGAAAATTTGGAGTAGAAGGTGATGGTGGTGGGGTTGGAAACTGTGATGATGATAAGGAGATAGGAAGAGAGGTTTTGAGAAATGTAAGCAGGTACTGAAGCCATTAAGCAAAAGATTAGAGAAAGAAACAAAGGAAGTGGGTTTCTTTTTTCTTTATATATATATAAATATATAGAGAGAGAATGAGTTAGTGTGGCGTGGGGGGTTTTGGGGTGAGGACTGAGGAGGAAGATATGCACAAAACCAAGCCAACATCAATTACCACTGACTGTTTCTCTGCTCTTTACCAAATCCAAAAAGGTCTCTCTCTTCCTACCTGTGCTCTTCTTGGCCTTTCTACTTCTTTCATCTTCTCAGTTCATTGTTTTGTCTGATTTTCTATTTTTTTTTTGTTTTTTCTATTCTGTCTTGTGATTGTTACTGCGTTAGTAGTGAATCCCTGTTGTATGTTATTTCGTGTTTGATATATTATATAACATTTTGATGCATAAGACGGTGAAAGGTTGAAATGGTGGGTGTTAGTTTTTGGTAAGAAAAGTTTATTCTGGTTTATTGTTCTGCTTTTTTGGATTACTGTGTTTTGGGTATTCTTGTTTCAACTTTCTTTTTCTTTTCCTTTTCTGTTGTGTTTTAGATTTCATTTATGGGTTTTGCATGTGTGGTATGGGTTAATATTGTAATTTGGGAAATTTCCATGAAAGGTGCTACTCTTGTATAGAAGATCACATTCAACTTTTTTCCAGTTGACAATTTTATGTTTGTGAAAGATCAGTTTCTTTACTCATTGCGGTATTCAATTATTTCCAGAGACATTTTGTTATCTGCTATGGATTTTGATTGATATTCCTTTTATGTGTTCCCCCAATTTTTCGGATTTGGGTCTTGCATGAAAGGGCTGGCTAGGTCAATCTGTTCACTTTTCCCTTTGATGGCACTCAACTAGTTCCTTTATGTTAATCAATTTTCTGCTGTTATTTGTGCTTCTTCAAATTCTTATTCATGCACTTCACATTTAGTTTGCATGCATTTGATTTTCTGTCGGCAGTCTTTTTGTCATTAGATAAAGTCGGGATCTCTATGTTGATGATGTGGATACCAAAGAGGTACAGATATAACAATTTTGATTGAGCAATTTTATTTATCTATTTTAATTCAATTTTAATCTTGAAACTAAATTTTTGGGGCTCTCCTCGAATATTGGCTATTCTGATTTATGAAAAGTGGTTATGTAGAGATTCCTAGTCCTTGGCAGAGGTATATGCTTAACTAATGTGCATATACTGAGAAAAGTATGTTTTAGGGCTACTGGTTCTTGATAAACTTCCAAGTTTTGAAGCTTATATGGAGACATTCTAATATTTGTTTCTCTTGTATTAATGCATCTGCTTAAAAGAAACATTCTGTTAGTTTTGACTAAATAGCATGAAGCCCACGTGGAGCTGTTATAGGAGTTCTTAACTATAGATTTGCTTTGTTATGGGTCAGAGAGGTGGAGAGTCTAGCATATGAGTGGTATATTCTGTTCATGTCTCGGTCATTTACCTCTTCAGATTCTTCTCAAACTGCCTTTTTTTTTTTTTTTTTTTTTTTTTTTTGTTATTACAATTAACTCATTTTTTGTTCAATGGTCTCGGGTCCTATTTACCTGCCATGATCGAGATTTCTGTTCCTCCAACCTAACATGACTCCTTTTTCTATATTTTTTTTTCTTTTTTGGCTTTTTATATTAGTTCTCTTTTATTCTGAACCTATTGCATTATACAGATGGCTCGATCTTTTTTGCTGGCGTCTTATACAAAATAGCAGATAAACATTTTTTCAATCAATGTTTCATTTATGGCACTAACAAAATGCATTTCCATCAATGCCGAATTCAATTAGGAATGTCTACAACAAATCCTAACACTACTATTCACTGCGATGACCTTTAAAGCTATCGCGGCTCGCTAGTTCAAAAGTCTCTTACTCTGAAAAGAGGGTCGGCGGGGTTACTCAGATAAAAACGGTGAACAAGGCAGTATCAGGCTATTACGTCTATCTTGTACAATCTAATTACTCTCATTGCAAGATTACGGTGAAGTACGTTTGTGGAAGTGGCAATACGGTTATGTATTGATTTAACCGAGTATATTATCTAGGACATAGGAATCTCGGAGGAAACAAACATCTTCTAACAAGGATAAAGAATGTTCTACATTTATTCACTTAGTGTGTCCAAATCCATGCCCACATCATTCCTCCACCACAACCATTCCCTGCACAATAGTATTAAGCTTATTGCGGGTCCTATTTGGGTCGTATTAAGAGTTTCATACATAGCACTACTGTCATTTTAAAGTCTCGTTGGATCAATTCAAGGCCTCGGGAACAAGCATGTTTTCGTATGTGGACCCATGGTGCAAGCTTTTAAGACATTTGCGTATGATTAATAGGGTGTAGTATATCTCCCTACAGACACTTATCTTCATTAGGTGGTAATTTTCACCAAAAAAATATGGTGTGAACCGTATGTCTCAAGCATTCTTAGAAGGAGTTCTTATCCTAAGTTTTACCCTTTTCCTTCAGAAAATTACCAGGTTTAACAATCAACAGGGCCTAGAGTCGATACCCTCTGAAAGCTTACGACTCAGGCGTGCATGGATACTTCCTGGTAAGAGGTCTTACAATTGGCGATCCGTATAGTGGCGCTCATTATTTGAGGGTCGATTATATGGTGAGCGAAGCAGCAATTTGTCCAGCAGTGTTCTTGGGGACTTCACTGGGACATTATGTATTAACCAATTCTCTCATTTTGTGCCTTGAAGCTGCCTTAAATTCTAATTCAACTTAATTGTTTGGTGTAGATTTTCCTTAAACCGTGTCTCCCCTCATGTTGCTATAGGTTGCTCAACTATTAGGTTTTTAATTTTTTTCTTTTTTTTGTATTTCTTCGATCTGAGTATTGGTCCGGACCCTACATATCAAGTGTTCTTTCTTGCACCATAATACCTTTGTATGTGTAGTCGAGTAGATGTTGGACTAAAACCGGTGAGCTTATGGTTATCTCATAATTTATAGATTACACCCAAGAGAAGATTCTATTATTTTGGAGAAATCTGTGTTTAGATGTTCGGTATTTGTTTGCTTTACCTTGAATAAAATTATTTACGATTTTGTGCTGCTTAAGTTTTTTTTTTTTTTTTTTTTTTTTTTTTCTGACTTTGCTTGTGCTGGCTGTCCTGTCTAAATTAGAGTTCTTTATTGTAATGCTACAAATTTTCACATGCCGTTCAATGAATCTTCAATCATATGGAAACTTTTGCTTGGATTTTAGGTGGTCAATAAGGGAAGCTAGATTCAAGCTTAAGGTCATCTTCAAAAATCTAGTGAGTTTCTGAATGCAATTTGAGATATTTTGAAGTATATATTAATGAAAATGAACAACTTTTCTAAGAAAGATTCTGATATCAGTTTTGCACATTCAAAATCCCCATATATTATTGGTTGCCAATCATTAAGGAATTCTACTGAATCAATAGTCGAACAAGCATCTTTGACTGCAAGTTTAGGCTTATAGATGGGGGTTCCACAACATTTTCATGGTTCCAAAAAATTGACCTTTCAACTTCAAGATCAGGATTCTTCTTCAACTCAGTCAACCAGTCAATCTTACCCTGAAGTAGCTAGCATTGAAGAAGGTAATGCATGTGGACAAAGCATAATTTCAACACAATTGGTTTCTTATATCAGTCCCCTATATACTTTATTGTTCAGTTCTCAGTGCAGGTTCTAAAGGTTTTTTTTTTTTTTTATCCATTGCTATTGCCGTATGCCGTTCTTTGTTTCGTAGTGACTAAGGCATGTTTTTAATAACCAAAGTTTCTTATGGATGCTTTATGCGTTATGTTTTACCTGAATAAATGCATATGCTCTAGTCCTGCAGTTGACCATTTTGACATTCTGAATAACTGAAGTAAGAGAGGGTAAGATATTTTAAGCAATCATGTGTAAAAGGTCGTTGGTACCTCAACACTTTGAGTTGGGTTTGGAACAATCAGGATGTATGTGCATGTGTGTATCCTCTTTGTCCATTCGTTTGGCAGATAGACTTTGACTTTTTCACCTTAAGTTCCTGGGTTTGTGCGCTTGCTTTGTAGCTTGGCCAAGTAAGTGTTTAATTTCATTGTTATCATGTGCTTGGTTAGGATTTAATGATTCTCATGAGAAAGCTGAGGGAGGCCACATCAAACTAGCGTCATCAATGGGAACTCAGGATTTTATCTTCCCTTCACAAGTTGACTATAGCCAGTCCCTTGTAAGTTGGTACTTGATTGTGCTTTTGTGGTTTATGAGGATTAATCTTACTTTATGTCATCTCAGGGTCGATTTCCTATCCATTTTGCTGAACCTTATTATGGTGGTTTACTGGCTGCTTATGGTCCACAGACAATGGTAAGCAACTTACACTGTATTTCTGCTTCTGTCCTTTCCTGTCTCTATCCATCACTTTTGATTTTATCCACTCCACAACCAAATTAAAGAGAGAGTATTTATCTGAGTAGGATCCCTTCCCTATATTTATGATTCTTCAACAGTTTAAAAATGTCAATGCCTAGGCATGATATATGTTGTCAGCATGCGTGTTTTAAGTAACTGTGCAATCATTGATTTTAATATCCAAGACTAAGCCTATATTCAGGTAATAAAAGTCATTCTGTTTACTTGTATTAGATATCAGCATGGAACAATTTTTTTTTCCGATGGACATTTGGGGAATTTCTTCCTGTTGTGATAGCAGTTAGATCTTTTCAGAACCAATTAACTTGTCTAATATTTTTTGGTACCCAGTATGATGCTCCTAAAATGAACATAAAGGAAACCCAGAAAACACGTTCAAGTTCATTGTGTGATGGAGACTTCAAAACCATCTTGTGTTCCTTGCCCAAATGTTCCGTTTTAACTTTAGATGTTTTATCACCCGAAAGAGTCTACTACTGCGGTGCCACCTTTGGTTCCTTAGACTCTAGACCGTCTTTTTTCTTTAGTAGATTTCTGCGGCATCAGTGTTTATTTGGCACTTTAAAAGTGATTGTACAAAAATATACAATGTTGACCTTTGATATTCTTCTATGTTAAATAAGAGGTCTAAGGAGTATGATGCCATCAGAATATAATTTATTCCTTCAACTTAGCATCTTCTTTACTCTTATTCTTTTGTGCTTTTCTTATTTTATTGATCCTTTAAGGTTGGAAAAGTTCCTTTACTCCCACCATTTGCTTTATGAAGCTTGATTTTTCAGAGCATTTATGCAAAATGATTATACAATATGAGAATAACTGCTTGTGCATACAGATGAGCCCAAGTGTCCAACCTGTGGATTCTACAATCCTATGGTGTAACAGATTTTGTTTTCCTCATTGTATCATTATGACCTTGAAATTGCATTTAAAAAGCATGCAATTACCCCTTGTTACTAGACAATTATGTGTTCTCTTTGTTACTCTTTGATGGGATTTCTATCAATGAAATGCCACCAGATTCATCATCCCCAGGTGTTTGGAATGGCTTCTGCGCGAGTGCCACTGCCTCTTGAATTTACAGAAGATGAACCTATTTTTGTCAATGCTAAACAGTACAATGCAATTCTCAGGAGGCGACGGTACCGTGCCAAGCTTGAGGCTCAAAACAAACTCATCAAAGCTCGTAAGGTACGTGCTTTGTGTATTTGCCTGTTTTGTTAACCATCCATAACCCCACTGTGCCATTTTATGGATGGGCAATTTTGGTGCTTTTGGTTGATGAACTGTTTTTTTTTTTTTTTTTTTTTTTTTTTTTTTTTTTTTTTTTTTTTTTAATGTCATTCTGAAATTTCCACAGCCATATCTTCATGAGTCTCGGCACCTTCATGCACTGAGGAGGGCTAGAGGATCTGGTGGACGCTTTCTCAATGCGAAAAAGCATCCGGAGTCTGGTATTCCCACAAGCCATGGACTGGATACTGCAGGCTCAGGCGAACTTCATTTGGCTGGAAATATGTCAGAATCTGAAGTTCATCAGCCTGAAAATCACAGAGATGGTGCTTCTACCACTTCTTGCTCAGATGTCACAAGTGCTTCCAATAGTGACGACATCTTCCAGCAGCCGGAATTCAAGTTCTCTGGCTACCCTTCTCACATTATTCGGTCCATGCAAGGGCGCTCTGGTAGTATGCATGGTAGTGGAAGCCATCACCATGTTTCCGTCCTTCTGTGAGAGAAGAGGCATGCTTCAGCAGTCTGTGTTTGGTACCAATCAGAAGACACAGCTGCTAATATTCCCTTGGGAAGTCATCCTTGGCTCAGTTAATTTGTGTTTTTTCTTTTTGGGTTCATTGCTTGCAAACTTAAATTTTCAGAAACCGATGATCTGACTCGACTGGTTTATGCTGTTCTTTTTGTGGTTGCAAATACATGTGCATTGAGGAGTTATGGAGATTGATGACAAATTCAACATGATGCTACTTTGGGTGCAATTCTGCTTGTTTGTCAATGTCATCTTAGTTTTAATTTCTAGAGTACTTACCTTGGAGGGCTTAACTCCTCTCAACTTCTTGTTAAATAATGATTGATTTTAGTACTTTGTTGCTGAATTGGTGAATGTATGCCAGTCCTCCAAGGGATTGGAATTTCGAGTGTCTTGGATTGGATGTTAGCACATGTTATTTCTCCCATCTATGTGTTTATGGAAGTACTAGGAAATTGAATTTGATTTTTCTTTTTTATAGTTTGAATCAAACCCTAATGTTACATGTTAAAAGGCGTTTCCTTTTTTTTTTTTTTTTCAAAAATATAAACCAGTTTAAAGTGGTTTTGAGATGTATAAACCAATTCTAATGCTGTCTTGAATTGACTATTGTTTTTATTGGAAATTTTGTTTTATGAATATGAAAGTTTTTTATCTTTAAAATGTACTGCTCACTATATTTTTGTTAATGTTTTTTCTACAAATGTTAATAGTAACATTCTTGATTTTGATATCATGAGGAAATCAAAATCTGTGACACCATAGGATTCTTCTATGTTGATTTTTTTTTTTTTTCTGTACAAAGAAATACATAAAATTTCTATTTTATAAAATTTGTATTTTAGAACAAAAAATTTATTTTTAATAATTTAAAAAAAATATGAAAATGGGGTGTCAAAAGCATTAGAAGTGTGGGTTAGTTCATTAAATTTGTAATCGCTAATAACTATTATGGTTAATAAATGATGAGTGGTGAGTGATTGCTGATGTGTGTTACTGTTAGTTTTGGTAAAAAATTTTAATAATTGCTGAGTTAAAATATAATATGATTATTTCAATATATTATTATATACTATATATATATGTGAGTTTTTTTTTGAAATAAATATATTATTTATATATTTTTCATGTGTTATATAATATTAATTAATATTTTTACGATAATATATACTGAATTAATTATTTTCAAATAATTATAAATAAAGGCGTCACATAAAAATATTAACTTACAAAAAAAATATTGATAATTATTTTATTAAGTTAGGGCCTATTCGACCATATGCTCCATTATTTATAGCATTAAGTAAGTGCTTATTGTTTCAGGAGCAAAATATAAAATGTTATAAAATGCTAGAAAAGTAGTGGTCAGGTGCCAATTACCAGCTACTAAATTTAATATTAATTGCTATTACAACAGTTAATAACTATTAAAATGGTTAACGACTATTAAAATATAAGAACAATTCTATTAACGCGCTACTAAAAGAATTAATATTAATAACGGTTACAACGGTTAAATATTACTAAAATAATTAATATTACAAAAAAACGCAAAATGCCGATAAAATAGCTAATAGTACCGAAAAAGTCCAAAATGCTAATAAGCACTCACAAATAATAGAAAACAGTTTTAGAATGGAACAAATAATTAATAGCAACTGATGCTGATAGAGTCTTTTCAAAAAAAAAAAAAAACTGATGCTGATAGAGACTTCTAGTTCTAATGACTATCAGTTGCTGCGGATTAAAATCCTTACAAAATATTTAATATAGTTATTGAGTATAAATTAACTCTTGAATAGCCGTTGGGTGCAAATCAGTTACAATTATGACTACGATATTTAAAACAAACCCTACTAAATTAATTGAAATCCAAATTTTTTTGGGATAAATGGAGATTCAAACACGAGTCATGATTCAAATCGATCACTTCAACTCCCAAAACAACCCTGCTAAAGCTCTAAAATTCCTCCTCTGTCCTTTGTCTTGTATATTTATCTAAACCCCTTTCGTAATCAAAATCCTATATTTTATTTGCATTTTGTTTTGACCTTCTCTTTTAGAAAAAAAAAAAAAACAAACGAAAAGAAAACAGTAAAAATTCAGTTTCAAATTTCAATACAGAGAAAGAGAGTGTGTGAGATATGGAGGGAGGAGGAGCGCAGCAGAGCAATCGTACTGTGGAACAGGTTTTTAGGGATTTCAAGAGCCGGCAATCCGGCTTGATTAAGGCCTTGACTACTGGTAATCTAAATTAATCATCAAAACAAAAAAAAGAAAAATTATAACTTTTTTTTCTCTTGTTTGTCTTTTCGTTTGAATTTTGATTCGTTCCATTTACTGGAATTGAATTTTACAAAATTGTTCCCTGTTTGGTTTGTTAATTTCATGCCTGGGTTTCGGTGAAGAATTTATGTTGATTTATTTATTTTTTTTCGAATTTTCGTGGTACTTCTGCGTTTTGAGGTGGCGTTTGGTTTTCATGTTAATTGCTTTGAGGAGCGTAGTGATTTTGGCTGTGTCTCTTTCTGTCTGGCTTAAAGAAACGACACGGAATTCATTAGTTACAATTTTGTCTCCGTTTTTTTCGTTTTTTCCGGGAAAACTGAAGGATTTATCGTCGCCAGTTTCCCCTTTGTTTCTAGCTCTGTTCGAGTTAGCTGAGGGGAAAATTACAATACGGCTTATGTATTCACTGTGTTCCAAGTCAAATTCTTTCCGTTTGGTAGCTGAATAAATCCAGGGAGTTGGGAAATAAATTTGAAAGGAAAAGTGAGAACTTTCGGGTGAAAAATGGCTTTAAGTGTACCATCTTAGAAGACTTAAGAGAATTTGGATTCTTTAAAATTGTGTAGTCTGTAGACTCTATACATATTTGCTAAGAGCTATTTCTGATTTTTAATTTGACCTACATTTTCTCAGCAACAAGCAAAGAAATAACGTTTTATGTTTGAATTCTAGTGAGTCTTCGGAGCAATGTAGTTTTTTGGTCATTGAAATTAATTATTCTGCTGTGTTTTGATTGTTATATGTGTATTGGTTTTGTTTTTACAGATGTTGAAGAGTTCCATAGGCAGTGTGATCCAGGTGGGATGGGCTTTTCTTCTCTACTTTGAATTACTCAATTTCTTAATTCCTTTGTATTTATTTTGTTTATCTATTCTTGATTCGTGTATGCATTGTTTGTTATTGAAAGGCAAAGGCTAATGAGGTTACAGGGGTTCTTGATATTATTTGTGAGGCCTCGAAATACATGAATATGAATCATAATCCATCCATTCGGAAACAATATGCTGTGCAACAAGCAAATAGGCTATATGGAGCAGATGCCATCAATATAGTGTTGAATGACGGTTATTAATTATTATGTTGAAGGGAAGGAAATGCACTGAAACTGTTGTTGGTGTAGGCGGTCTTAAAATTTATACGTTATCCATCAATTATTGCGTGAGGGTGCAGGGGTTACTGATTCTATTTTTGTTAAGTAATAATATGATCGACGTAGCGATTTTCAATTCTCAAAGACAGGCAGGCATGGGAGGAGGGAGAGAGGAAAAATGTCTATCTAATTCTAAAATTTCCTTGCATGCAAAACATAGTTACCAATAAACTATTAGATTTTGGCACCTTATCTACGATTTGAGTTGAAGCATTTATTTTTTTTATTTATTTCCGTTGCTTCTAACAGTTACAATTCTGGAGTTGGTTTTAGCTGTGTGGTCTTTTCCACTTCTGGAAAAAGGAACACTTAATACTATACTGTGGTCCTTATAACTTATCTTTCTATATGAATCCAGAGAAGGAGAATCTCTGCTTGTATGGCTTTCCCAATGAGCAATGGCAAGTCAGTTTACCTGCTGAAGAAGTGCCTCCAGAGCTTCCTGAGCCTGCGCTTGGTATTAACTTTGCAAGAGATGGCATGCAACAAAAGGATTGGTTATCCTTAGTCGCTGTCCACAGTGATGCATGGCTGCTTTCTGTTGCCTTCTATTTTGGTGCCAGATTTGGTTTTGATAGAGCTGACAGGTATATTTACTTTCAGTTGAATAATTTTTATCTGCTATTTTAAGGTCTATAAGTAGTGAAAAACTGAACAGGCTCAATGGTCACTTGGGCAAATATTTCTGCAGTCAACTTCAGGTCTTGCTTAGGTTGGATGACTTTCTAAATCATGACATGACATGGAAATGGTATCTGATTGTATGTTATTTGGCTAAGAGTATTTTGTGTCATTTTGATCACGCCAAATAAATGATCCATCATTCACTTTATTCTTGATCTTGGCTTCATCTGTTTGTGGATAAAGAATGTGGGATTCGGCTGCAACATATTTTCTTTATTATGTCTGGCCACAATTAAGGCCTCATGAGGACGAATAGAAACTCACCTGCACACAAATGGGTTGAGTTGGTCTAATATCATGCACCTATTTGTGGGTCTGTGTTTTGCCGATTCTGGTTTTAGATTAGACTGATTAGTTAATATAATGCAGCAGTCACAGAATTTTCTATGAACTCATTACAATATTTTCTTAATTGTTATACAGGAAACGGCTTTTTAATATGATAAATGATCAGCCAACTATATATGAAGTTGTGAATGATGGTGGTGGTCCAAAGAAACAAGTGAAAGAGAAGTCATTTGTCTCCAATCATAGTAGCAACAAATCCAAGTCAAACTCCAAAATGGTAAAATAAGCTTTCTTTATTCTAATACTTTGATTTTATTCCTTTGGGAGTTTCCATAAAAAGCCTATCAGTGTGTAGCTTCTTTTATCAGTGTTGACAAACAATAACATGCTACACTTTGGTTCTCATGGTCAGAACAAATCCATTTGAAATGTTTAGGTTTAAAAAGAGTCTTTAACTAGTCAGCAAGTAGACAAATAGCTTTTGTTCTATATTCATAAAGAAAAATGATAATTCTTTTTCTAGTTTCTCTTGAGCTGCTGTCACAAGGCTCAAGTGTCACATGACAACTTGCATTTAGTGATTGTTAAATGTTCATGGCAATTCAGGTATCATTTGCAACTTCATTTATTGTTTGTGTTGTTGGAAATATGATTGTACATATTAACTTCTTCGATTACTTGATTGGGGTAGTTTAAATAATCAAATGTCTAATAACTATATCCTGAGCATACATCAACATCTTGCCATAATTTTTTTACGGGTGCCAGTCACGTTTTTGGGGATTTTTCTTTTCTCCATGTTCTCTAAAGTAGGCAACCGTTGAATACTAAACTAATGCCTGGGAATGTTGTTAGGCTAGACCTCTAAAACGGGTAGTATTAACTAATATTAACTAATATTAACTGTTTTCTTTTCTTCTTTTAATGCTTGATTGAGTAGCAGCAGCAACAAGAATCTCAGGGAAAGTATTCGAAGTTGTCACAGCCAAAGGATGAAGATGAGCACTTGGTTGAGGAAGATGAGGATGAGCATGGAGACACATTATGTGGTGCATGTGGTGATAACTATGGAGCTGATGAGTTCTGGATTTGCTGTGACGCCTGTGAGAGGTGGTTCCATGGCAAGTGTGTGAAGATCACCCCTGCTAGGGCCGAACACATTAAGCAGTATAAATGCCCATCATGCAGTAACAAGAGAGGTCGCTCCTGATATATATCTGAGGGCTGTGGTTCTCCGCCATAGAACTCTCTTTAGCTGGACTGCTAACTGCCCTGTCAATCAGTTGGTTTCTTGGATTTATTGTTTGTTAGTGCAATGTGTTAATGGGTAGATCGAAATGTTGATGACTAGTTTCATCTAGAGCACTCAGTTTCCAATATATGTGTATTTTAATTAGAAACATCTAATTATCTCTTCCAATTTAATAGGAAATCTCGTTAATAGTTCACATCTTTTCGTATACTGCTTTTGATAGATCTATGATACCCTATTTTACTGTATTATGGATGTAAATGGGTTATGATACCCCATTTTACTGCATTATGGATGTAAATCGGTTTGGTCCATGGATCGGCGTAGATCGGGTTTAAGTAAGTCTTAACTCCTTAATTTTGTATACTTTATTGAGAGACTTTTCCACAACTAGACTGTTCAGAGAAGGTAAGCTTGAAAACGTCAAAGCCCCCAACAATCCCTTCCTTACTCGTATCTCTTTGTGAGGGCAAATAGATGAAACTTAAATTTGAAATAAGAACTAGCTAATACAAATACTAATCCATTCTTCATTCTCTTTTATTATTTTTGCATTAGAAGACAAAACAACAAGATGTTGAATATGCTAATACTTGTCCATTCTTCAATTAACAAAACTGAAGAAGAACAATTAATGACTTATTATGATACATTTATATCAAGAATTCCTCAAACACCAGCTGCTCTCTGCTCCACTGGCACCTTCAGTATCAACTTGGATAGCTTCATCACAACCCTGAATGAGAATTTCATTGTACGGATAGCAGCAGTAAACATTTTCTTGATGAATCGGAAAAATAATTTAACGGTGTGATGAACACCGATAACCGTAAGTAACACATACCAGAACCATAAATAAGTTGTAACAAGATAATCAAATGCTTTGTCCTCTGGTGCTCTAATTCATTTGAGGGAGACAATATAAGAGGCAGCCACAAAGAACATGGCGATACACATTACCATCAGCAAAAACCAAATATAAACCCTGCGATTGAGAGGAATTCCACTCATAAGCAAAAGCATTGTGCTTACAGATGCCGTGAAGGTGACAGTGTTGTTTAAGACAAATTGATGGAATCTTGTTTCATCAGTATAGGCTGATAATGAAGTTCCTGCCTTGCAGATTTTACCTCCTTCTAGACAATCTTTATAATCTGTCTCCCAAACTCCACCTGGTGGGCTTACTGCAGCTTGAAAACCCATGGCTGCAATAACAGTCGCCACCACCATCAAATTACCCCAGCATCTTCTCCAGCCAATCATCTTGGTCATTTACCTTCTTTATCCCATTATTAACCCAGGTTTGTGTTGCAGATCCATTTTTATCATCTGGGTAGCTTCTCCAAATTGTATCAAAGGCATCCGCTTCCACTTTTATTTGAGGTATTGAAAGCAAGTATTTTATTGTCTATAGAAACAAGCGCACACACGGACACACACAAAACTAAAAATCTCAATGAACTTGGAGCTGTGTTTATCATACGAACTTTAGTCAGAGCCTAATTACTGTAGTTATATCTAGGATAGTCTGTTGCAAGTTTGAACTCCAATTCAGAGCATTGACCCCAAAAATGGAAAATCAATTTTGGGATAATTGATTGAAAACTTGAAAGTAAATGCACATACCTCCATCTGCTTCATTGTTACAGCTAAATGCAAGATAGTGCTGCCATGGTTATCCTGCGAGTTAAGGTATTCATCATCATCATCACCCAGCGATGTTACCAACAATTTGAGAGCCTCCAGATGGTTATATTTAACACACAAGTGAAGAACTGTTTCCTCTCCTTGTAGTTTTGCTTGTGCTGACTCCGGGCAGGCGCTGATCAGTTGATGTGTGATCTCAACTCGTACTCTCATTGCAGCTAAGTGAAGAGGAATCCTCCCATATTGGTCAGGAACTAAGCAAACATCAGTATTTATACTCAACAAAGCCTTAACAATCTCAGTATGGCCTTCTGCAGAAGCCAAGTGAAGAGGAGACTGTCCTTGTGAGTTCAACTCAGCCGAGAGATTTGGTTTCTGATAAAGAAGAGCTGCAGTGAAATCTACGTGGCCAAGCAAAGATGAAATATGCAAAGGTGTTTCTCTAAAAGAGGAGATCGAAATTCTATCGGGCATGAGCGGATCTCTTTGCAGTAACATATACAGAGTGGCTGTGGTGCCCCTAATTGTTGCTTCATATAGTTTCTTTGTGTAGTCTTCTTGAGATTCTCTCTCCATTATTGCTCTTTCCTTACAGCTAGTCCTCCAAATTCCAAAATGAAAGGTTTCTGTTATGGCTACTAACATAACAAGTCCTCTCACAGGCTAGTGATAGAGACTAGGAATCATTTTCTTTCACCAGGGATTTCAGAAGCAGTACTGTATGAATATGATGGGATTTGACCTGACCATGGATATTACATTTCTTCGAATTTCCTTCACCATTTCAAGGATTGAATTAATTTTCTTTCCCTTTCGCTTATCTTATTTTCCTTTATCTCTAATGCAAAGTTAATTTTGCATCTTCATTAACATCAATTTTTATATTTTGAGAGTTTTGTTCTATCATTCTTTTCCTTTTATTACTATTGATATCTTTTATTTTTATACTTTCAATTATTCATGAAATGTATGGAGGGTCGTGAGCACTGTATTGAAGGATCCCGTGGCCGATTAACGACAATGGCCACTCTAATTGTCGCCATAACCGGGCGGTGTTTGGCCACAAAGCGAATGGTAGTTCTGGCTGCATAAATGGTGATAATACCTGTTTTGCTGGAAAGTTCAAGCTCCGCTCGGCTTATTTACTCCCTGATAATATGGACAATAAAATAGGATTTCCACCAAACCTTGGTATGTGAAAGAGTAGTTGATCCGTTTGAAGTTGGAAGAGCAGAAGGTGGTGGACGTGGATCGGTAAATTTTGATGTTTGTCTGCCCACTAACACTCAACAACAAAAGCCCTATGATGGGTGGCCCAGATTAACACTCAACACCAGAAGCCCTTCCTTACAAGTCTCTAAATACATAGATTCTCAGGTTCATTTGGTCCTGACTCCATAATGCAACCAAGTGTTGTTTTGAAATACTCGGCATGAAAACCGGTTGGCAAGAGAACCTAACTTTCAGTTATTCAAATACAATCCTCTATAGCTGGACTATCTACCCAAGTTTCATTATTGGAGATTGGGAAAATTTAGACTACCACTTGCAAAGCATGAACTAAAAAGAATATGGAAACCAGTTGTATTTTGACTACAATACGACATGGAGCCATGGAGGTCATATTTCAATGGCCAATATTTAGGAAACAACAAATAACCTGAGAATAGGCACTTGGCAGCATATAAAGTGTAAGTGCCTAAATAACATACTAGTTTCAGATTTTTGAGTGATTACCATTATATAAAGTAGGATATGATGGGCCTTAACAAACTTATTGTCTGCAAATTCCGAATCCATCCAAAAAAGAGGTTGCCCCACCACTAACACTACTGTTATCCACAAGTAAACGCAACAAAAATTCAATAACCTGAACTTTTCTTGGCCTCCATAAAAAAGCTCATCAGTAGAATTAGAAAGAAGATTCATTCACTCTTGTAAAATATGTTCTTTCAATCCAGGTCAATCTTGAAATTCTGAATTATTAAAAGTAGAAACCCAAGCAAAGAGCTTTGGTCATGCTAACCATTAGTTCATTTTATTCCTGGTACTTTTATGCCTTGCAGAAACCAGAAATTGCAGATAATCAGATGTTATAAAACATTAATGAGAAACAGAGGAAGAACAAAACTTTTTTTATATAGTGAAAACCTGCATGCATTTACATTAAGCATATCCTTTAGGCAGGCAGGGTAATGAAAAGAAAGCGAGGAGGTGATGAACATAACTAAATTTAGAGAAAGTGGAAAGATTTTAAACAGAGATACAAAAGAAAAAACCTCCATTTCTTTCTTCACATTATTTTTTCTGCAATTTTATCCTTGCAAAACCTCTTGGTTCTTTGCTGATAGCCGTTTCAGAAACTCATAGGTGGTGATCATTGTTGTTGCAGACATAGACATGGAAGCCCACCTTGGCCCCAATCCTCTGTAACAAGCCATCCAACCGCCTTCCTTAACCAAATTTCTGACAGTTTGACCAATAGTTGGTCCACGCTTCCCATTTTCTTCACCATCCAAAACTTGCAATCTAGTCTTGATTGTATCAAGTGGCATTGTAATTAAAGCTGAAACACCACCTGCCATGGCTGCACTGACTCCCTGAACTGCCATTACAGTTTTAGAATCCGGTCTCAAAGCATTAACCCCATTATCATTCCCATCCTCATCTTTCTTACAAAAATAACACCCAATACCACCCCAAACCATCCTTTGAGCAATAGAATATGAAGCCCACCAAACTGCATTAGATGGTGCATATGTCAAAATTGATATCCCAAACCCCCTATACAATCCTTTTGCTCCATCAGTTCGTATAATTTTCCTAAACGCATCAATTCCGTTTGCATATTTACAAGATGATGCATTTCCTCCTTGAACCATAAGCCTTTGGCTCACAACATCAACTGGGGTCCAAACAAGTTGTGCAGCCATAGCTGCACTTAACCCAGCAGCAGCATTTGCAATTGCAGCTGCAGTTGCCTCTGGAAACCCCAATCGAATTGTAGCAGTCCCCACATTACTCTTGGTAACCTCAAGCGCCGTCATGTAAAGTGCTCTAGCAGGAATTGTACCCATCAAAGAAGTACCAAATCCTCGATATAAAGCTCTAAAACCCTCATACCTGATGATACCAAAAGCGGTCTTGATACTGGAAACCTGAGATTGGGAAACTTGTTGTCTGGTTTTCAAAACCACCACAGGATATAAAGTAGCTGATACTCCTGAAAAGAGCGCGGCACCAAGGAAGAAGAATTTTGATTTATCGAGCATTTGCCAATCAATATCGGCTGGAATATGAATTTCTTTCTCGGATTCGTCCTCCGCCGCGCCCAAATTCATGTTTTCCTCTTTCCCAATATTCACAATTCAAAATCTTTCTTATCCTAAACTGTACAAAAAAAAAATTACAAAAAAAAAAAAAAAAATAAATCCTAAAACTGTAAAAAAAAAAAAAAAAAAAAAAAACAAACTATACAAGAACAAGAACGTTAAAGATATGATACAAAGCTACACAATTTATAATTTTTGAGATGAAACAAAAACAGAAGTTTATATTTGATCAAATTGATTGCGAATTTGCTGTTTTTTTCCTCCTGTGGAACCAGGTTTTAGATCGTAGTCGAAATAAAATGAATGGATCTAACATTGATGATGTTGTTTCTTGACTGTCCTTACCGGAGATTGAATCATCTTCGCCGCCGTCGGCGACTGGAAACTCTCAGCTGGAAAGTTCGGATCTTTGCATGTGTCTATAAACGCAGCTGTGCAGAATACATATTTACAAGAGAAGAACGAGAAAGAGAGAGTTGTGGGCGACCGGAGATTACAGAGGCTCTAATTAGGTAAAGAGTTGGAGAAGATAAAGGAAGAGAGCAACGGACACGTGGCGGTCACGGGTTAGGGTTTTTCGCTTTGTCCGAGTCTATTAGTGAGCGGGCTGATCGAGGGATTCTTTTATTCGCTTTTAAAATGAAGTTCTGAGATCGTAAATGTTAACCGTTGATCTATGGGCCTACACTGTAAGATATAAAATTCAGGGTTCAGATCTCGTTATTCACCTACGATATTGGACAATGTAACACGCTAACAAATCTTTCTTTATTGTCCGAGAGCACGTTAGCTGACGTGTGAATTTGTGATCCCTATCCAAAGAATTAGCTGAGGTGTTATTCATTGCGGGAGGGCACTCCTCCGCCTCCTGTGGAGCTGATCACTGGTATGGAGGTAAATTTCAAATCTATTGATTCTAGACTAGGTTTCGTGGATTTGCACACGGAACACGGGACAGTACACAATGTCAGCCACATGAGCAGAAATATGCCACATCAAAATAACACGTCATTATTAGTACCAACGTGGTAACAACATGATTCCTAAAAACAAGCAGGGTCATCAACATGTGACGCGTCATCTAAAGTGTCCACGTGTCATAGGTTCAATAAGTCAGCAGTTAAAGCCACGTAAGCAAAGTGTCCAGTTCCACGTGGCATCCAGATTACTGCCATTCATCACAGGTCTGCCACATAAGCACAATTAGCCAGGTCGGTAACTGCCACATAATCTTATATGGCATCCACGTTTCATCATTTCAACCACGTGAAAAAGTAGTCACTTATAAGTCCACGTGTTTGCCAACTATCAACACATCATCAACCTTTTGCCATGTGTTATATGCCACGTCAATGAAGAGGTCCCAGCTGTTGTGCACGTCATGAACCATGTACATGATACGCCAGCTGATGTATTCTACGTACGCACCACTTTGCCACTTGTATTACGCGTCGTTCCCATATGGCCACATCAGTAGTGTCATATGCTGTACCGCACCATTAGTGTGCGACCACGTCGTCAACTAGGCCATTTCAAGCTTTTCTCCCTTAACTGGAAAACGGCGCGAATCGTGAGTCGCAAAGAGAGGGAACTCGCAAAATCTAAAGTCCAAATTATAAGAGAAGATTCTCCCTCTGGTTCTTGAAGGAATTACCGAATTGTTTAAACTACAAGACTCTCCCCATAATTTCTGTACTAAAAGTATTTGATCTGTGTCTGCAATGGCTTAAAGGATTCGAAATATGCTACGAAACCTAAATTGGTTAGAAACGTGAGATCTCGTGTCACGAAATCCTTGGCCTCTCCGCCGTGGCTCGAATCGGAGAGGACTGTATCATCGACAGACGACCAGCTTGTACAAGACTACAACAAGCTTTGCTTTCCGTCTGCAATGGCTCCAAACAATAAAGTCCAAACTTTTCTTTGTAATCCAAATGACAAATCGAATTATGTGACTTAAACTAACAACAATAACTCAACTAAAAATCCAATTTGAAAATTAATTTACACAGAAAAATGAATCAAAATTAATTAAACATTTATGGTTCATCTGGATTTGTTAGGTGCTGTAGCCCAAACTGCTTTCCGCAACTGCAGCTCCTCAACTTTTTTGTGATCCAAAAGAGAAATCGAACCACATAACTTAAACCTGATAGAGTAATAAGTTAAGATAATATTTACAATTTATTTGTATTTAATATTAGCTGTATTTGTAACTGTCACTAAAAGATATACATGTAAATTGCTATATATTGTACCTATCATGCAATACAGAATACAACAAAAGAATTCTCAAACGTGTAAACCTCTAGATGGTATCAGAGCTCTAAGGCTACACGGCATCTTCTCATCTTTCCCTCTGTAATTCTGTATTCGTTCTTCATCTTTATTCAAAAAAAAAAAAAAAAAAGATGGAGTATCAGAGGCGCTAAGGCTACACGATCTTCTCATCTTTTCTGCTAATGGTCTGTTTAAATTCGTGTCTTCATCTTTATTCCAAAAAAAGAAAAAAAAAAGTAAATGGGGACGAGAGCAACTGCGTTTCTTCTTTCTCTCAATCTACTGTTTTCTGCACCTGGCTGCTTTCTTCCTCTGTCCAAGCTTCCCATATAACTCAGTCACATCTCCTGTGAAAGTTGACCTCAGCCTAATCAGCTAATTATTTGCTGTGGAAATCCCAAATTCTTCCCCTTTTGTATGGGTATCGACTTGCTGGTTATATCGATGGATCTAAGCCTGCACCTTCTCAGTCGCTTGACAATGGTGTGACAACATTGGTGCCACGTATTTGTCAGCAAATCATGTATTTCATGCACGTACTAAGCATTTAGAAGTGGATTTTCATTTTGTCCGTGACAAAGTCAGTAAGCGAGAATTACAGGTACAATTTATTTGTTCGAAAGATCAACTAGCTGACATTCTGACGAAACCTCTACCTCGGATTCGACATCATGCCTTAATGCACAGTTTCACAGTTTGACAAATTGCGAAGCTTTATTCCTCGCAAGCTTTGAATTGAGGGGGCCTGAATAGAGTATACGGATAGAGATAATATTTACAATTTATTTTGTATTTAAAGCTTCATTCCGCAAGCTTGAATTGAGGGGCCTGATAGAGTAATAAGTTAAGATAATATTTACAATTTATTTGTATTTAATATTAGCTGTATTTGTAATTGTCACTAAAAGATATACATGTAAATTGCTATATATCGTACCTATCATACAATACAGAATACAACAAAAGAATTCTCAAACGTGTAAACCTCTAGAAAACCAACAACAAAAATCAAACCAAACCAACCATAATACCACGTATTACCCCACCAATCGCTAATTTCTCGAAGAATATGATCTGGAGTCACCATGTCCAACGATATTACATAAGCATTTGCTGCGGAAAACACTGTACCACACATTAGCACTGTCAAGACCCATGTGCAGAACTTATTATGGAAAGGGAATCCACTAATAGTCAAGAACACAACAATAAGTGATCCAACAAAGGCAACACTATTGTAAATCAAGAACAATTCGAATGCTGATTCGTTGGTGTAACCAAATACTGCTGTTCCAGCAAAACAAGGATACTTTTTGCAGCTTGAACTGCCTTTACCCTTTGTATAATCTTCTTGCCAGACACCACCAGGTGGGTTTATAATGGCTTGAAAAGTCATCGACGCTATTAGAGTTGCAACTGCCATTAATGTGCCATGAGTATCCTCAATCCAGTTATAATCATGATTCCCCAAGTATTTCTTCATCTTACTGAACCATGCTTTTGGTCCTGATGGTGATTTAACGGGAACTGTAACATTTACATCAGGTTTTACTTGTAGGAGTGTTCTAGCTTTTTGTGCTCCTGATTCTATTAAAATGGCTCGAATTTCAGGACTGTTGAAGTCTCTTGGAGAGTTGTCTAATATATCCAAGGCTGTGAAACCCATTCTATTTGTGGTTTTTACTTTTTCTTTGATAATGGGCACTGAGAGCATGTACCTTATTGTCTGCACAACAACAACACTAATTAAGCTTAGTCCCAAACTAGTTGGGCCGGCTGTATGAATCCTTATTGTTTGCACAAAAAAATATTTTAGCTACACTATAATAATATGTTCCCCTTCGTTGTATATAAAAGTATGCCTGCAGGAAACATTTTTATGAGCAAAAAATTGAAATCAATAGAAATTCTTAGGTTTGAAAATCTGTTCTGCAGTGCAGAAAATTTGCTTTTATATGAAATTCACCTCTAATTGCTTCAGCATGGAAGCTATATGAAGGATGGTGTTGCCATCTTGATTTCCCTTATTGACAAGCTCATCATCTTTGATATTTTCCACCAACAGCATCAATGCGTCCAAATGGTTATATTTTACACTCAGATGTAAAACTGTATCTCCATCAAGCAATTCCTTAGTGGATTGAGGACATGCATTGATCAATTCTTGAATAATCTCAACTCTGCCTCTCATGGCAGCCAAATGCAGAGGAATTCTACCATCTTGATCACGAACCAAACAAACATCATTATTTGCACGTAACAAAGCTTTCACAATCTTTACATGGCCCTCTGCGGAAGCCAAATGAAGTGGAGAACGTTTGAGAGAGTCAAACTCTGAGGCCATTTTAGGACATTTTTCAAGAATAGCTCGAGTGAAATCAAGGTGGCCACGTAAAGATGTTATGTGCAAGGGAGTTTCAGTAAAAGAGGAGAGTGAAATTTTATTAAGAATGAGTTGGTCTGTTTGAAGCAATTTGTTTAAGCTTTCCACACAGCCTCTCATAGCTGCTTCATACACTCCTTTTATACTATCATCTTCATCAAACTTTATGATCTCCATTCTCTCTTTATTCCCAATGGCCAGTTACTGTTGTTTCTATATCGGGTAAGAGGCTGAACAGATTTTTATAGTTATATAGACATGCGTCAGCAAAATATAATAAAGGGTTTTAATCTGACTTTCAAAATACTAGTATAAAATTAATTAATTTATGGCTATAGGTACAATTGATTCATTTTTTTAACAAGTTTGGATATAATTGAAAATTTGTGAAAATTTAGAATTTTTTTTTCTGATTGCAATTGGATCAGAGGTTTAAATTTTTTGAATCAGTGATCTGTAATATTATTTTTCTCCTTGGAATGTGATTCTAAGAGTACTCGTGAAAAAGAAAAGTACGAAATAAAGAAAGATTACATGCTGATTTGTTGGGTAAGGAATGTCACCCTCTTTCTTTCTTTCTTTTTTTTTTTTACACTGCTCGCCTAAATATAACTTGTTTTGTCAAAATATTTTTTTATTTGGAATAATGTTCAATTTGTTTTGGACAAATTGTTACATACAAATCCCCGTGACTTGCCTCAATAATAATATGTTATTATAACTTATTATTTATTTTTTTAATAAATAAATTTATATTTTATAATGATATATTGGAAGAAAAAATAAAAAGAAAAAAAATTATAAGGATCAAACATTCAAGCAAAACACATATAAAAAAATATTGATTTTGGATTTTTAAAGTTAGAAAGATGCCTATCTATCAATTCCTTCAATTTCAAGTGCTAAGTATGTGCCTTGCTAAGAATCAAGAATCAACATTCTGAAAAGAAGAAGAATAAAAGAAAATTAATTTTTGAAGTTCATTTTCCCACTATCTACTGCTTGATTCTTTCTCTAAATAACTATCAATTCATGTACCCTCTCTATCTATGGTGGTGGTTTTGTTGATCACATGATAAAGTGGTGGCTATGGTCTATGGAGGTTTTGGCAATTGATGGGCTTAGTGCAAAATCAAAACTGAAGTGGATGATAAGTACTATCAAGGAAAAAATGGAGGGTCTGTTTGTCCTTTTATTAAAAATTAACAACAAAGTACTATTTTATTTTTTAAACAGAAGGATTAAATAATTTAACTGGTTTAAATATCAACGATAAATTAGTTATTTAATCAAAATACAGTACTAGGTAGTAATTAAGGTTAAAACCTTAAGGGCTATAGGGATTAAATGCTCCCAAATATAAAATTACATTGAAATAAATGAATTATGTTTAGTTACTTATAAATTTTTCAAATTATAACATCAACCAAATTTTATTATAAGTCAATTGTATAAAAATTACTCTTTAATTATGAACAAGGAGTTGATAGGTGATAAACAACCCCAATCAGAGTAAAGATGAGAACACTAGTTCAATTCCAGGAAGTGCACATGCTAGAAGGGCCAAAAACCTTTTCAACTGTTAAATTTATTATCGATTCAGCTGATTGCTTATGTTTTGGCTCACAAAACTAACTCTCTAACAAGTAGTTCTAAATCAAATATTTAATTAGCACATGCCATGATCTAAGTCTTGGAAACATGAAAGAATTACAAGTGGCAGTTCATTTATTTAGTTTCAAAATCAATACAAGAAAGTTACAGCTGATGAATAAGAAGTTGAAATTTAACCTTAATGAATCAAACATTAAGGTGTTCATCTGGATTTTTAAGCTGCTGTAGCCTCAACAGCTTCTTCTGATGACGAAGAATGCTCAACCTCCTCGTACACCAAATGAAAAATCGAATTATATGACTTAAACTAACAACAACAATCGAACCCAACCAACTGAAAGCCCACATTGGATGCATCCAATCGATTCGGCGAAGAATATGATCGGGAGTCACCATATCCATCGACATTACATAAGCATTTGCTGCAGAATACACTGTAGTACACATTACTGCTGTCAAAACCCATGTGCAGAACTTATTCTGGAGAGGGAATCCACTAATTATCAAGAACACAACCATAAGTGATCCAACAAATGCAATGCTATTGTAAATCAAGAACAATTCGAATGCCGATTCGTAGGTGTAACCAAATACTGCTGTTCCTGCCAAACAAGGATACTTTTTGCAGCTTGAACTGCCAGCGCCGTTTGTATAATCTTCTTGCCATAAGCCGCCAGGTGGGCTTATAACGGCTTGAAAAGTCATTGCGGCTATTAGAGTTGCAACTGCCATTAATGTACCCTGAGTTTCTTCAATCCAGTTACTACCTTGATGCTCTATGTAATTGATGAACTTCTTGCACCATGCTTTTGGCCCTGATGGTGATTTTATGGGAACTGTAAAAATTGCAGCTGGTTTTATTGGCAGGAAATTGCTTGGAGTTGGAGTTGTAGCTTTTTTGGCGCCTGATTCTCTTAAAATGTCTCGAATTTCAGGACTTTTGAAGTCTTTTGGAGAGTGGTCTAATAGATCCAAGGCTGCGAAACCAATTCTATTGATGGTATTTACTTTTGCTTTGATGCTGGGCACTGAGAGCAGGTACCTAATTGTCTGCACAAACAAAATATACAGGCTTCAGCAGGTCAGGATTCAAAATATGAAGCCAAATTTCTTTTAAGATTCTCAAAATATACCAACAGTAAAAATAAGGCTCAGACCTATTTCTTTGGTATTACTGTTTGAATTATTGTTAATAAAAATAATAAAAGGCGACCCCAGTGCGCTAAGCATCTCACACGTGTGAGCTCTGGAGAGAGTGATATATGCAGCATTTCCCTACTTTGTGGTAAAGAAGCTATTTCTGTGGCTCGAACCCATGAAAATATCTATCTGTATTAATTGGTTTTACTATTAATTGAATATTTTCTAGTAACAAGAACTTGAAATACAGCTAAATAAATCCAAGTGTGGTTAGAGAAGGTTAACCTCTAATTGCTTCAGCATGGAAGCTATATGAAGGATGGTGTTGCCATCTTGATTTCCCTTATTGATAAGCTCATCATCTTTGATATTTTCCACCAACAGCATCAATGCGTCCAAATGGTTATATTTTACACTCAGATGTAAAACTGTATCTCCATCAAGCAATTCCTTAGTGGATTGAGGACATGCATTGATCAATTCTTGAATAACCTCAACTCTGCCTCTCATGGCAGCCAAATGCAGAGGAATTCTGCCATCTTGATCACGAACCAAACAAACATCATTATTTGCACGTAACAAAGCTTTCACAATCTTTACATGGCCCTCTGCGGAAGCCAAATGAAGTGGAGAACGTTTGAGAGAGTCAAACTCTGAGGCCATTTTAGGACATTTTTCAAGAATAGCTTGAGTGAAATCAAGGTGGCCAAGTAAAGATGATATGTGTAAGGGAGTTTCAGTAAAAGAGGTGAGTGAAATTTTATTAAGAATGAGTTGATCTGTTTGGAGCAATGTGTTTAAGCTTGCCACACAGCCTTTAATAGCTGCTTTATACACTCTTCTCATTATATCATCTTCATCAAGTCTTACGTTCTCCATTATCTCTTTACTCTCTATCTCCTTCCCCCCGTAGCCAGTAATACTAAGAGGTTTTTTTTTTTTTTTTTTTTTTTGTATAGGTAGGGAGTTTCAGTACAAAGAGGTGAGTGCAAATTTTATTTAAGAATAGAGTTTGATCTTTGGTAGCAATGTGTATTAAAAGAACATGCCACACAGCCTTTTAATAAGCATGCATTTATACAGCTCTTCTCATTTATTAAATACATATTCTTCATTCAAGTCTTAACGTTCTCCATTATCTCTTACTCTCTATCTCTCTACCCCCGTAGCCATCAATACAAGAGGTTTTTTTTTTTTTTTTTTTTTTTGGGAGTAACTTAGCTCTTCTTGTTCCATGCTCAATTAATCATATCAATCAATCTGTCTCGTTTTCATGGAGATATCAAGATACCCACTTTCCAAGCAAGATTCTTAAGACGATTTTCCACGAGTGCAACATACAGGAATACAAACTTAAACAAAGGAGAAAATTCTCTTCACAAGTCAAGTAAAATATGAAACGGTTTTTTTTTTTTTTTTTTTTTGGGTAACTTAGCTTCTTGTTCCATGTATATATATCAATCAATCTGTATGTTTATGGAGATCAAGTCCCATTTCCAAGCAGATCTTAGACGTACGAGTGCAACCATACAATCAACTTAACAAAGGAAAATTCTCTCACAAGTCAAGTATTGAACGGAGATATTAGTTTTAATTAAATAATTAATCCTGCTAAAGTGCTAATCTTTAGCTTTACCTATGAATTAATAAGTAGCTTCTTTTTGTTACACCCATTTAATTAAATTTTCTTGTTCTGATTAATTAATTGATAACGATACCTTACTTCTTGCAATACTTGCAAGATTGGGTTGGCTCATAGCTTAATTTGGATACTTAAAAAAATGAAATTGAATTGATGGCGCTTGATTCTTAATTATATCTTCCTTCTTCAAGAAAATACATGTACATGCTTTTTAAATCAAACTGTATTATGAAATCTATGCAGTAAATTGATGCATTATGAAAGTTGAAGGTTACAAAAAATATTGTGCCTCTAACAATCCAATATTTAGCACAGGCAATAATCAAGAACCCGACATCATGAAAAATATTAAAAATGGAAGTTTTATTTATGTCAAAATGAATACAAGAGAGATAGAAAATTACTGTTGATGAATAAGAAGTTGACACTAATTTACATTTTAAAAAATTAATCTTAATCAATTAAACATTAATGTGTTCATCTAGATTTGTTAGCTGCTGTGGTCTAAACTGCTTCTTTCGATGCCTGCGAGTGCTCAGCTTCTTTGTAATCCAGATAAGAAATCGAATTATATGACTTAAGCTAGCAAGAACAAGCAACCCAAACCAACCAGAAATCCACGTTGGATGAACCCATTTGATTTTGCTAAGAATTTCATCTGGAGTCGTCATATCCAGCGATGTTACATAGGCATATGCTGCAAAATACACTGTAGTGCACATTAAAGCTGTCATAACCCAAGTAAGGAACTTATTCTGGAGAGAAAATCCACTAATAATCAGAAACACAACAACAAGTGATCCAGCAAAAGCAACGCTATTAAATATCAAGAAATCTTTGTACTCCGATTCATACATGTAACCAAATATAGCTGTTCCAGCCAAACAAGTCTTGTTTATGCAGCTTGAACTGCCATCCCCGTTTGTGTAATCTTGTTGCCATAAGCCGCCAGGTGGGCTTATAACGGCTTGAAATGTCATTGCGGCTATTAGAGTTGCAACTGCCATTAATGTGCCTTGAGCTTCTTCAATCCAGTTCTTACCTTGATGCTCTATGTATTTTGTGAACTTCCTGAACCATGCTTTTGGTCCTGATGGTGATTTAATGGAAACTGTAAAAGTTGCTGCTGGTTTTACTGGCATGAGATTGCTTGGATATGGAGTTGTAGCTTTTTTTGCGCCTGATTCTATTAAAATGGCTCGAATTTCAGAACTTTTAAAGTCTGTTGGAGAGTGGTCTAATACATCCAAGGCTGTGAAACCCATTCTGTTTATGGCATTTACTTTTGCTTTGATAATGGGCACTGAGAGCAGATACCTTATTGTCTGCACAAACACAATATTAATATGGTTTTCTTTTATTTCATATAAAATATGGTTGCAGGCAACATTTTTACGAGCAGAAAATTTAAATGAACAGAAATTCTTAACCTTCAGAATCAGTTCTGCGGTGCAGAAGCTCAGGATTCAAATTTTGAGGCCAACTTCTTTTAAAATTCTCATATACCAACAATAAAAAATAAGGTGCAGAAGTATTGCTTTTAGACTTAATTGAATATTTTCTAGTAATAAAAACTTGAAAACAGCTAAATGGCTCCTAGGATGGAATAGAGAGCGTTTACCTCTAATTGCTTTAGCATCGTAGCTATATGCAGGATGGTGTTCCCATCACGATTTCCCTTATTGACAAGCTCATCATCCTCAATATTTTCCACCAACAGCGTCAATGCTTCCAAATGGTTATATTTTACACACAAATGTAAAACTGTTTCTCCGTCAAGCAGTTCCCATGTGGTTTCGGAACATGCATTGATCAATTCTTGAATAACCTCAACTCTGCCTCTTATGGCAGCTAAGTGCAGAGGAATTCTGCCATCTTTATCACGAACCAAACAAACATCATTCTTTACACGTAACAAAGCTTTCACAATCTCTGCATGTCCCTCTGCCGAAGCCAGATGAAGGGGAGAGCGTTTGAGTGAGTCAAACTCAAAGGCCATTTTAGGACATTTTTCAAGAATAGCTCGAGTGAAATCAAGGTGACCAAGTAAAGATGATATGTGTAATGGAGTTTCAGTAAAAGGAGTGAGTGAAATTTTATTAAGAATGAATTGGTCTGTTTGGAGCAATCTGTTTAAGCTTGCCACACAGCCTGTCGTAGCTGCTTCATACACTCTTCTTATTATATCATCCTCATCAAGCCTTGTGTTCTCCATTGTCCCTTTATTTCTCTATCTCCTTCTCCCAATAGCCAAGTTTCTATATTGGCAAAGAGACTGAAGAGACTTTCTTTGAATCATTTATCATTCATTCATTTGCATATGGTAACTTTCTTTTGTCATTAGAATATAATTATACTATGAGTAGTCACACAAAAGAACAAGTCACAAAAGATAACAGGCTGAATAGTTGGGTAAGGAATTTTTCTTTTTTGTTACATTACTGGCGTAAATCACTTTTTTTTTTATCTGTGCAGGCTTTCTTTTATAAGCTTGCCACACAGCCTCTCGTAATATCATCTTCATCAAGCCTCATCATCTCCATTATTTCTTTATTTTTCTCTCTCCTCCCCAAATAGTAAACTCAAAAAATATATTATGAAGTTAGTATAGCTTCTTGTGTTATATATAAATATTGGGGACCCAAAAATAGAAATAGAGCTATATTCTAAATACTATTATTCAATATAAATTAGATCAAACACATTTACCGATCGAGTTAATTAGGGTTTTTTTTTTCCTTTTATTTTCTTGTTCAACGCTTAGTTGCAGAGAAGATTAACTTATTTTCTTGTTCAATATATTATTTATTTTCTTTTAAAAACCTCAACACAATAAATAATACCAATAGCAATAAGAGAAAGCATAAGCATCTACTTTGAGCCACCAAGCAAAGTATGCTAGTATTTTTCAGTTTGGCCTTTTATGTTCTGATTCCCAAATCAAACTGCATGTCGTTCCTCTGCTCTGTTCTCATTCTTCATTTTATGCCAAAACTTCCGCAGCTTCTTTACCGTCCATACTGCAAACCGAATCAATTCAATTATGTCCGAAAATGAAATCACCAATGCAGAAACACCAATCACTTTGGAATCCATATTCGCCATTTTTTCTCTATATCTTGATGGAGTCACAATTAACATACCAGTTACATAGCTGACTAACAAAAACAACAACGTGATCTTAATGGCTTGTGCTAAAAGCCAAACGCAGAACTTATTCTTGAGAGGAAATCCACCAACTATTAGAGCTATGACAGTGAAAGAAGCAGCAAAAGCAATACTATTGGAAGTGATATAATATATATATCGATCTGGATAAGCATAAGCTAAAACTGAAGTTCCAGCTTCACATATATTTGATTTGTTGCAAGCAGAACCGCCAGAGACATCTACAAAATCCTGTTGCCAAACACCACCAGGTGGATTCATTGCAGCTTGGAACGTCATGGTTGCAATTACAGTTGCGACTATCATTAATGCGCCACGTGTTTCTTCCAGATTGTATTGCAAGTGTTTCATGCATTTCTCAAACCGTGATCTTTTCATTTCTGCAGTAGAAGCAAGAGCAATAGCTCTTGGCTGTTGTGGTTCTGGTGGAAGAGTGTTGTTGCTGCTAATTAGCTCTGCTGCTATTCTTATACCAGCTTTTATTAAAATATCTTGAATTTGTAGGCTTTTGAAGTCTCTTGGACATTGATCTAACAAATCCAAGGCCGTCAATCCATGGAACGTCATCGGTTTGAGCAAATTACAGTTGGCCGACTATCATTAAATGCGCCACGGTTGTTTTCTTCAGATTGTATGGCAGAGTGTTTTCATTGCATTTTCTCAAACCGTGATCTTTTTTCATTTCTGCAGTAGAAGCAAGAGCAATAGCTCTTGCTGTTGTGGTTTCTGGTGGAAAGGAGTGTTTGTTGCTGCTTTAATAGTCTCTGCTGCTATTCTTATAACCAGCTTTTATTAAAATTATCATTGAATATTGTTAGGCTTTTGATAGTCTCTTGGACATTGAAAAACATAAAACAAACTTCCAAGGCCGTCATTCCCATATCCGTTTAACGGCATTCCGCTTATTACATCCCATTCCGTTTAAGGCATTTGCTTTTACTTTCACTGTAGGAAGGGAAAGCAAATACCTTAAAGTCTGCATATATCCATATACAAATTTGTTTTAATTAATTCTGCGAATATACAACTCAAGAATATCTACTTTTTACACAAATTAAATAATTCAGCTACTAGTCCAGTAATTGATTGCAATCATTAAAAAACACAGTTATATATAGCTAGGATGAAAAATTAAATAATTACCTCCAATTGCTTAAGCATGGCAGCTAAATGCAAGATAGAATTGCCATCTTGATTTCCTATATTCAATATCTCATCACCATTGATAAATGTCACCAATAACTTGAAAGCCTCCAAATGGTTATATTTTATACACAAGTGGAAGACTGTGTCTCCATCAAGAGCCTCAAAAGTGGACTCAGAACTTGCACGTACCAATTCTTGAATAACCTCAACTCTACCTCTCATGGCAGCCAAGTGGAGAGGGATTCTACCATCTTCATCACGAGCCAAGCAAGCAGTTTTATCTTGCAGTAGCAAAGCTTTGATTATCTGACTATGGCCCTCGGCAGAAGCTAAGTGAAGAGGAAAGCGTTTGAGAGAATCTTGTTATGATTAATCTCAAATAATTCCACAATAACCTAGATCGTGCAAATCACTAGATTCAACAAAATAGATTGAATAAGAAAAAGGTTGCGTACCTGACATCGTTGTTTGTAGGGGTGTTTCAGTTAATGAAGTAAGTGAAACTTTGTTAAGAATGAGTCTGTCTTTCTGGATCAGCGTGTTTAATGTTGTTACACAGCCACTTATTGCTGCTTCATATAACAATACTGTTGGATCTTCTCTGTAATTATTCCTAACTAATTCCATGATTAACTCTCTGACCGTCTTACCATATGATTGATAGAAATAATAGACTTACTTGTATCTTGAGGTTTCCTTGAAGCTTCTACGAGATAAAATTAATGGACTGGTTTTTTGAACGTCTTAATCTGACATTGGAATTATATATATAAATATATTTACCGTCCATACTGCAAACCGAATCAATTCAATTATGTCCGAAACTGAAATCACTAATGCAGAAACACCAATCACTTTGAAATCCATATTCGCCATTTTTTCTCTATATCTTGATGGAATCACAATTAGCATACCATTTACATAGCTGACTAACAAAAACAACAACGTGATATTAATGGCTTGTGCTAAAAGCCAAACGCAGAACTTATTCTTGAGAGGAAATCCACCAACTATTAGAGCTATGACAGTGAAAGAAGCTGCAAAAGCAATACCATTGAAAGTTGTAGAAGAATGTGCAAAATTATTGTTCTGTACTTTCATCAATAGGGTCACATGTATATACATATACAGGATACTATAAACCTATTAGGAATTTAAATCCTAACAGAACTCTATTTACAACTAGCCCTTAACACTCCCCCTCAAGTTGGAGCATAGATGTTAATCATGTCCAACTTGTTACAAAGATAGTTAACCCGAGTTAAATTCCTAACAGAACTCTATTACATACATAAGCCACTTAGACCCACTCCCCCTTTTCAAGTTTGGAGCAATAGATGTTAATCATGTCCAACTGTTACAAAAAGATAGATTAAACCCACGAAGGTCACATTTATGAGCTTTTGTTAAAGAAATTATCTTCTAACTGCTCACTTGCTTAACATGCTCCCATAGTAGAGATAACACCCCATAACACCACACACAAAATGTTGGTTAATCTTTTTCACGAACTGAAATTGACAATCAAGTCTTGAATATTAGTGTTGTTCATTCATGGACACCAAATACTAGATTTGATGCAATAATGGCAAAGAGAAGCAGAACTTGATTTATCACCACCATAACTTTGCAGGGCAAGGACAACTTGAAGCCAATTTCTTCTAACAATTTGACGAATTCCAAAATTGTCTCACAAGTAGATTGCCGCCATAGAATTTCGATATCCTGATTCAGCCACAGCGAATCTGAGGAGACTACAAGCTTATTGTATTCATTGCATCCTTCCACGATATCATATTTGTTTCTTGCTCCTCCACGATATCAAGTTTCCACCTACAAAGACACAATATCCTGAAGTTGATCTTCTATCAACCTTCAAACCTGCCCAATCCGCATCCGAAAAACACTCAATGTCCAAATGTCCATGATTATTGTAAAGGAGACCACGACCTGGATTACCTTTCAAGTAGCACAAAATTTGTCCTAAAGCTTCCCAATGAATAACAATAGAAGAAGACATAAACTGGCTTAAGACGCTCACACCATAACTTTGCAGGCAAGGACGACTTGAAGCCAATTTCTTCTAACAATTGACGAATCCAAATTGTCTCACAAGTAGATTGCGCCATAGCTCGATATTCCGATATTCTGATTCAGCACTTTCGATCGTAAGAACTACATGTTTCCTAGCTCCTCACGATATCCAAAGTTTCCACCTACACAAAAACACAATATCTCCTGAAGTTGATCTTCTATCAACTCTTTCCAGACAAACCTGCCCACAATCCGCATCCGAAACACAACACTCAATGTCCCAAATTGTCCATGGATTACTTGTAAAGAGAGCCATGACAACTGATTACCTTCTTCTACAAGTAGCACAAAAATTTGTCAAATAAAGCTTCCCAAATTGAATTAACAGTAGGAGAAGACATAAATTGGCTTAAGACGCTCACAGAGGTAAGCAATATCTGGATGTGTTTTACCGTAAAAGAATAATTCAGTTTGCCCCACCAATCTTTATACATCTCAGGATCATCAAATTAGCTTTTACCACCAATTGAAAGGTTGCAAATTAGGCAGTCATTGGAGTACCGTATGGCTTGGTACCCAACCTTTCCGTAAGTCAAGGACATACTTCCTTTGAGATAAGAAGATGCCTCTCTTACACCTAGATACTTCTATACCCAAAAAATACTTCAACAATCCTAAGTCTTTTTTCTGGAACTGAGTCTGGAGGAATGACTTGAGTGATGTAATGCCTGCAGAATCACTCCCTATAATAACAATGCAGAATCACTCCTTGTAATAACAATGTCATCAACATAAACCACAAGTAGAATCAAACCAGTGTTAGTACTTCTGAAAAATACAAAATGATCAGAAATACTCTTCTGCATGCCAAATTGACATTACAAAATCTACCAAACCAAGCTCGATACCAAACTCAAGGCTCGAGGGACTTTGTTTTAGGGCCATAAAGAGATTTTCCGAAGTTTAGGCCATAAAGAGATTTTCGAAGTTTACACACTTTACCCAACTCCCCCTGAGCAACAAAGCCTGGTGGTTGCTCCATGTAAACTTCCTCCTAAAGATCGTCATGAAGAAAGGCATTCTTAATATCCAGCTGATGTAAAGGCCAGTCAAAAGTAGCTGATAAAGAAACAAACAAACGAACAGAAGACAATTTGGCCGCAGAAGAAAAAGTATCAGAGTAATCAAGGCCATAAATCTGAGATTAGCCCTTAGCAACTAATCGAGCCTTGAGACGGGCAACAGATTCATCAGGATTCATTTTAACTGTGAAAACCCATTTACAACTAATAGCTTTCTTACCTGCCGGGAGAGGCACAAGATCCCAAGTACCATTAGTATCTAAGGCAGCCATCTCCTCTTTCATTGCTGCACACGCACCCCATTACATTCACTCTTCAAGTATGCTGCACACAACCAGGATGGGGACACACAGCTTCGGCAACAGTTTTAGTGATAGAAGACAGAGGTCCTAGGGTTACTTACAAAACAACGATTTAGGGATAGAGACAGAGTCTAGGTTACTTACAAAACAACGAGATGAAGGAGAAAGATGATCATAACTAACAAAAGAAGAAATAGGATATGTACACGTGCGTTTACCTTTTCGAAGAGCAATGGGAAGGTCAAGGTCCGATGGAGCAATGGATGGCACAGGCTCAAGTTGAGTGGAGGGAACCGGATCTTCCGTTGAAGCGGTAGATAGGGGAAGTGAGTCAACAGTTCCTGGTCTCCTGGAATAAACCTGTTCAAAATGAGGGTGGACAGATGCTGGTGCAGGAGGCGGAATAGGAGGAGCAGACGCTGTAGCAGGAGCAGGAGCAGGAACAGGAACAAAAGCAGGAGCAGGAGAGCTAGGAAATTGGTGGATAGCGTAGACTAAAAACTCATCATCCTCCCCCTCACTCTTATATATAGGAGAAGGAAAAAATAGAGTATTCTAAAAAAATGTGACATCGACAGAAATAAGATAACAGTCAAGATCGGGAGAAACAACGAAATATCCCTTTTTGATGCCGAGAATACCCAAGGAAAGAATACAACGAAGGGATTTTGGACCCTCTAATGGAAACCTGCGGACGAACTCACGAACAAACAAGTACAACCAAAATACAAGAGGTTCAATAGGAAATAAAAGTTTAGAAGGAACAAGACACTATAAGGAATTGCACCAGTTAAGCACAGAAGAAGGCATGGATTAATAAAAAAACACGCAGTAGAGAAGCATCTGACCCAAAAATGTTAGGGACCTTCATTTTGAAATAGGGAAGTGCCCTGAGCAAACCTCAAAGAAGGGATGTTGAATTTTTTCTTTTCTGCCAACCCCATTTTGAGAAGGAGTATCAAACCCCCCAAAAAAAAAAACCCCCCCAAGATGTTTGATGAAAGATTACATTCTGTGACAATTTAGATTGGAAGGAACTAGATTAGAATATTCTTTAGCATTGTCACTTTCAATGTGCGAACAGAGGTATTAAATTTGATTTTTAATCTCAGCACAAAAGGAACAGAAAATAGAGAATATCTCAGACGATTTTTCATTAAAAATAACCAGTTAACACGGAGAATAATCATCCACAAAAGTTATTTGAGAATATCGAAAGCCAGTTTTTAGAAATAACAGGGACATGGGACCCCAAACATCCAGAATGAACTAACTCAAAAGGGGATGAAGCCCGTTTATTGGACTCGAGGAACTTAAAGGTAATGTTGATGTTTGGCAATTTGCAAATTCACATTCTAAATAATCGAAAAGACTGAAATGCGGACACAACTCTTTAAAGTAGACCAACGGAAGAGAGGGATGGGATGGCGGCTGCCAATACACTGACAGAAGATGTGGACCCATCAGCTAGGAGATAACATGCAATTTAAATTTGCTCAGGTTTCTTTAAATAAGGATTAAGAGACTTAGGGGTTACCTGTCATATGACTGTGCAACCAGAATCAATGACCCACTCTTGATGGGTAGACATAAGACATGTAGTTAGGAGTACCTGAATTTGGCACAGCAGTAGCCAATTGAGGAATCAGTAGACTTTTAGAAAAGAACGGGTATCTTAGAGAGCTCAGCCAATACTTCTGCCAGTAGGAAATTGTTATAGTCTTTTCAGAAGAAGTAACAGTAACTGCAGAATCTTGAGTGGCCATATTTGCCCTTGGGGGCTTATTTAGCAGTTTCTTACAATACCGTTTAGTGTGACCAGGTTCATGGCAATAACGACAGATAAGAATGCTTGCCTCCTGATTAATTGGTCCATTACTATGGTTATGTCCTCCTCTTCCTCTGTTTCCTGGCTCTCTAACTATGTGATTACGACTCACAAGTGCACTATTATCATAAGGGGAAGGGGTATAAAAACCTTCAGTACGTAGTAATCTAGCAAAAGTCTCCTGAAGAGAGGTAACGTCACTGCCTGAAAGAACCTGTGATTTGGCAATTTCAAAAGTCGGAGCAAGACCAGCAAGAAAACTCATTACAGCCATTTGTTCGCGCTGAGTCTATTGAACCTTAATATTGGGGCTGAATGGCAATAAAACATTAAGTTCATAAAACATTAAGTTCCTCGTAAATCTTCTTAAATTCCATGAAATAAGCTGTGAGGGGCTTATCTTGCTGGTCGGCCCGATAAAGTCCATTGCAGACCTCATACATACGGGATAGATTACCTTTTCCCGAGTACAAAAATTCAAGATAATCCATCAGTTCCTTAACAAACTCTCAATGGTTAATTAAACCAATTACCTCACTGTCAATCGGATTTTGAAGCTGTACAAATAATCGAGCATCCTCTCTAGGCCAGATTTGCCTAGCAGCTCCTTCAGGTGGATCATTGGTGAAATGGTCATCCTTATCCAAACTATGAAAATATATACGAACTGTTTTACTCCATGCCAAAAATTAGAGCCAGTAAGTTTGTGTTCCGTTATTTTATTCAGTAATGGCACCACATCAGTGATAACAGGTTTCGATTCGGAAGTCCCCGGTCCCGGTGGAGTAGTCGTTCATGAATTTGTGATGAAAACGCTCCAAAAAACAAAAATGTAGCACAAACAAAGGAAAACTACAGATTGCTTAAACTACGATTCTTGGTAACTTGATAGCAGAATAGCAAAGAGGCAGCAGCACAATATAAATTCACAAATTCAGAATGTACCCAGCAAGGCAACAGCAAAGGTGCAGCATAAAAAAAAAAAACACCACAAAAGTCAAAGAGAGCCGACACAACACACTGGGTTGCACTGCACTGGCAGAAACGACGCCGGAAACTGAGAGCCCGTAACCGGAGATGGCCAGACGCACCCTCACTCGCCGTGAAGCCCACTCGCGCGAATTTCGGTGATCAGATTTGGAGGGACAGCCGATCGGCGGCATGTCCTTCTTCCTTGGGTGGTGATGAGACAGAAAGACCAGCCTATGTGGGTGACCTAGACTGGCAATCACAAAAAAATACCCTCTGCCTGTAGTTTCAACGCAAAAAAGAGCAGAGAAAGAAAGAAAAAAAATAATGAGCCGAGGGGGCTCTGATACCATGTAGAAGAATGTGGAAAATTATTGTTCTGTACTTTCATCAATAGGGTCACATATATGTACATGTACATGATATTATAAACATATTAGGAATCTAACTCCTAACAGAACTCTATTTACAACTAGTCCTTAACAAAAGTAATATAATATATATATTGATCTGGATAAGCATAAGCTAAAACCAAAGTTCCAGCTTCACATATATTTGATTTGCTGCAAGCAGAACCGCCAGAGACATCTACAAAATCCTGTTGCCAAACACCACCAGGTGGATTCATTGCAGCTTGGAAAGGTGGATTCATTGCAGCTTGGAAAGTCATGGTTGCAATTACAGTTGCGACTATCATTAATGCGCCACGTGTTTCTTCCACATTGTATTGCAAGTGTTTTATGCATTTCTCAATCCATGATCTTTTCATTTCTGCAGTAGAAGCAAGAGCAGTAGCTCTTGGCTGTTGTGGTTCTGGTGCAAGATTGTTGTTGCGGCTAATTAACTCTGCTGCTCTTCTTATACCAGCTTTTATTAAAATATCTTGAATTTGTAGGCTTTTGAAGTCTCTTGGACATTGATCTAACAAATCCAAGGCCGTCAATCCATTCCGTTTAAGGCCTTTGCTTTTGCTTTCACTGTAGGAAGGGAAAGCAAATACTTAAAGTTTGCATATAGCCATAAACAAATTTGTTTTAATTAATTCTGCGAATATACAACTCAAAAATATCCACTTTTTACACAAATATCTACTCTATTTAATTACTTCACAGTTATTAACACTGATCATTCAGCTACTAGTCCAGTAACAGCTACTAGTCCAGTAATTGATTGCAATCATTAAAAAACACAGTTATACACAGCTAGGATGAAAAATTAAATAATTACCTCCAATTGCTTAAGCATGGCAGCTAAATGCGAGATAGAATTGCCATCTTGATTTCCCATATTCAAAATCTCATCACCATTTATAAATGTCACCAATAACTTGAAAGCCTCCAAATGGTTATATTTTATACACAAGTGGAAGACTGTGTCTCCATCAAGAACCTTAGAACTTGCACGTACCATTCTTGAATAACCTCAACTCTACCTCTCATGGCAGCCAAGTGGAGAGGGATTCTACCATCTTCATCACGAGCCAAGCAAGCAGTTTTATCTTGCAGCAGCAAAGCTTTAATTATCTGAGTATGGCCCTCGGTAGAAGCTAAGTGAAGAGGTAAGCGTTTGAGAGAATCTTTGCTCGAAAACCATTTTAGGGAGTTTCTGTTAAAGTTACAACTACAGCTCCATTGAAGAAATTGATGCAAGTGTTGTTGATAGTTTTTGGAGGTATTTTATTAAAGTCATTTAGATTTGTTGTACTTTGTTGAAGTCAAGAAAAAGTCAGAACAAGTAGTTTTGAACTACCTTGCTTTTGGTAGGTTTGGTGAACAACCTTCCTTGACTTATTATGAAGGTTGGTGAACAACTTTATAATAGCTTCTAACTATAAACTGTTTACATTATGCTGTTAATGGAATTAATGGAAGATGTGAATATTTGTTTCTCCACACTTACAAAATCTGCAGAATTTTCCTTCTCTGTAGAATTTTCCTTCTCTTCCTTAATTTTCTGCTCTTCTAAACCAGCAAGTGGTATCAGAGCAACCTTGATCTCAAAGGGCTGTGTGTGTTTGAGTGAAAATCATAGAGAAAGCCACCAAATAAACCAGAATTTGTGAAGTTTTTCTGTTTATTTGCTTTTCTGCAAATGGCTTCTAGCAGCATATCGCTTTCACCACCTCATTTTAATGGGGAAAACTACCATGTTTGGGCTGTGAAGATGAGAGCTTATTTCAAGGGGCTTGGATTATGGCAGTATGTGGAGGAAAACAAAACAGAAGTACCTCACCTCTTAATCAAATCCAACCCTTCAGCAGATTAGACAACATGAAAGAAGAAAGGTTGCTAAGGCGTCCAAAAGCTTTGTCCTATATCTATGCAGCTGTTTGCCAGATCCTTATCTTCACCAAGATTATGACATGTGAGACAACACATGAAGCTTGGGAAGAAGTTAAAAAATGAGTATATGGATCTTGAAAAAACTAGACAGATGCAAGGTATTTAATTTTAAGGAAAAGGATATTTGAATGTTGAAAATTGAAGGACAATGAAAGGTGAAAGATTTACATGGATAGAGTAATGAAAATTGTAAACCAAATTCGATTGTTGGGGAGAAGAGTTGGGAGAAGAGTTAGAAGAGAAGAGAATTATGGAGAAAGTTATGGTGACTCTCCCTGAAAAATTTGAAGCCAAGATTTCTTCTCTTGAAGAAACTTAGGGACATGTCACAAATATCATTGAATGTGCTTTCAAATGCTCTACAAGCTGTAGAACAAAGAAAAGCTTATAGGGAAGAAGAAACCATTGAAGAGAAGGCTCTTGTTGTGACTCATAAAACAAAAATACAAGAAGGAGGTTCAAGAGGCCAGCAAACTGACAGAAAACCAAAAATAAAGAAGAATTTCAGAAAAAATTGGAGGAAAAATTGGAGGAGGAGGGAAGGACAGATTTTCCACCTTGTCCACATTGCAAAAAAACAAAGCCACCTGAGAACTTTACTGCTTTTGGTTCAGACCTTTGGAGCTCAATTGTAAGGTTTGTAAAGTAATTTGGTCACACCGAGAAAGTTTGTTTATACAAACCAGAATCAACAAGACACAAGCAACCAGAATCAACAAACACAAGCCCATCATGCACAAGTCACTGAAAATTCTGAAAAGTATGAAGAACAACTATTTGCTGCAAATGAAATTAAAAAATGTGGTGTCTCAATTGAAGCTAAAGAAGCATGGCTTGTTGATAGTGGCTGCACTAACCACATGACACCAAACTCGGTGAATTTCGATAGCTTGGATACAACCTATTCTTCAAAAGTCAGACTTGGAGATGGTAGGCTTGTTGATGCCAAAGGCAAAGGAGATGTGATTGTACAAACTCCTTCAGGTACAAAGCTTGTTTCCGATGTTCTTTACGTACCAGAACTATATCAAAGCTTGTTTTCAGTTGGTCAATTGCTGGATAAGAATTACAGTTTGCTATTTAAAGATAAAACTTGTGAAATAAGTGATCCTTCTGGCTCAAGTGATCCTTCTGGCTCAAAGTTATTTGCTGTCAAAATGAACCGGAGAAGCTTTCCTCTATATTTAAGAAACTTCGAAGAAGAATCTTGCTGAGTCACAAAAAAGAATCTGATTTGTGGCATAAGAGACTTGGTCACACCAATCTCAATTCATTAAAATTGCTGCAATCCAAGAAGTTAGTTGCTGATTTGCCATCTGTAGTTGAAGACGGCAGTATATGTGAAATATATCAGTTAGGCAAACTCAGTCAAACACCATTTCCATCTGATCAAGCATGGAGAGCTTCTATGAAACTTGAATTAATACACACTGATGCGTGTGGCCCTATGAGTGTCTCATCTTACAATGACAGCAAGTATTTTCTATTGTTTATTGATGACTACACCAGATTCTGCTGGGTATATTTCCTCCAATTCAAGGGTATATTTCCCTCCAATTCAAATCTGAAGTTTTCAAAATGTTTCTTGGACAGGTTTAAATGCAATGGTAGAGACCATCAAGCTGCCTCCCCAATCAAGATTTTAAGATCTGATAATGGGCGCTGGAATTTACATCCGAATCAATTCAAGCACCATATTTGTGCAAGAAGCAGGCATTACCATCAATTAACAGTTAGCTTTACACACCTCAACAAATGCGTGTTTAAGTGAAAGAAAGAAATCGATCGTGATCTGAATATGCAGATGTCTCTTGTTTTTGAGGAAGAAATCTGCCAAAAGTGTCTTTGGGCTGAAGCTGTAAACACTTTGATGATTATCTTCAAAATCGGCTTCCAACCAAAAGCTATTGATGGAAAAACTCCTTTCGAAAGCTGGTTTGAGTTAAACCATTATGGTAGGTCATCTCAAAAATCTTTTGGGAAGCATTATGTTTTTTTCATTTATTCCAAATGCAAAGAGGGGAAATATGGACTCAACAGCTGAAAAAAGGAATTTAGTTAGGGCTACAGCAGTTGAATCCAAAGCCTACAGAATTTTGAATCCTGTTACTAAACAGGTGTTATGGTCAGCAGGAAGTTGTCCAAATTAACGATGAGAAAGGTGAATGGGGATTTGGGAGTAAAATGGAATCAGGAAAATTCTAAATCAGTTCTTGATTTTTCAGCAAGGAGCAAGAAACCTTCCACGACAATGAAGAAAGAATCAGATGGCAGGACTCAGATGAAGATGATTATGCAATTAGAGGAACCAGATCCCTAGAGGAAATTTACAGCAGATGTAATGTTGTCTCACTTGAACCAACTCAGGTGGATGAAGCCTTAAAATTGCCTGAGTGGAGAGCTACCATGGAGGAGGAGTTGAAGATGATTATGAAGAACGAAACATGGATTTTAGTTCCTAGACCATTGAATAAGCATGTAATTGGAACTAAATAGGTATTCAAATTGAAATTAAATTCTGATGGCTCCATCAATAAGCACAAAGCAAGATATGTTGTTAAAGGCTATGCTCAATAGCAAGGGGTTGATTTTACAGAAACCTTCGCACCAGTTGCAAGATTTAACACTATCAAATTGATTTTGGCACTAGCAGCAAGTGAAGGGTTGCAAGTCTTTCAATTGGATGTGAAATCAGCTTTCTTAAATGGTTCTTTGAAGGAAGAAGTGTATATTGAGTAGCCTGAAGGTTTTAATGATGAAAGCAATAGAGTGTGTTTATTGAAGAAAGCACTCTATGGTTTAAAACAGGCCCCAATGGCCTGGTATGCCAAGATTAATCATTACTTGAAGAATTTGGGTTTTAAACGCAGCTTGAATGAGGCAACACTTTATGTAACTCAACAAGGAAGTGATGTGCTTATCGTTTCTGTGTATGTTGACGATCTACTTTCTGTGTACCCGTTGACGATCTACTTGTCCAGGCAACAATTACAATTAATTCAAGAATTCAGATTGAAGATGCCAGCAGGTTTTTGAGATGAATGATTCTTGGCTTAATATGTTATTTCCTTGATTGAAATTGCTCAGATGACAAGGGATTTTTTTATTTCACAAAAAGAAATTTGCTGGGGAGCTTGCTTAAAAGGTTTGATAAACTTAAGCAAATTGCAAACCAGTTGAGGTACACCTACAGCCCCATGGAGATTAAAATTGCAAACGGATTGAATGTTCTCCTCTATAGTGCTTCAACTTATAGGAGCAAAGGTTGGTTCTTGCTGTATTTATCTGTAACAAGACCAGATATTCATGTTTGCAACAAATTTTACTGTCGAAGATTTTCATGAAGTTTCCCAATTGAAAACCATCTATACAGAGCCAAACGAGTTTCTGAGATCATGGTGCAAGGGACTGCTGAATTTGGTTTGTTTTATATTAGAAAGATTTAAATGGTGTGAAGTTGTTGGGCGAGTTCTCAGACAGTTGATTGGGCTGGGTTCCATTGGATGATATGAAGAAGCACTACTGTTTTTGTTTTTCACTTTTGGTTCTGCATTGTCATTTGCTTGGGGAACAAGCAAAGCAAGCTTCAGTCGCCTCAATTCAACTGCAGAGGCACAGATATGTGTGCAGGCATCTGCTGCTGTAAATCAAGCTATTTGGTTTGGAGAAAGGTGTTAAGTGGATCTTTGAATTTTCGAGCAAGAAAATCCAAACTAAAATTACTTTATGTGACCATTAAATCAGCTGTTGCTATTTGGTAAGAATCCAATCTTTCCATGGAAAAAACCAAACATTATAAAAATAGTACCATGCAATTTTCGTGAAAGCTTTTGAAAAGGAAAATGAAATTTTTAGATTGTTCATTGCAGTCTTGAAGACCAAACAGCAAGATATTTTCCACCAAGGGCATTTGCAAAAACCAAAGATTTAAATTTCTAGAATAAGATTTGGTGTTTGTCTCAAACTTCTTTGCCATCAACGGAGGAGTGTTAAAGTTACAGCTACAGCTTCCATTTTGAAGAAATCATGATGCAAATGTTGTGATAGTTTTTGGAGGTATTTTTATTTAAAGGTCCATTTTAGATTGTGTTGTACTGTTGTTGAAGTCAAGAAGGTAGTAAGTAGTTGAACTACCTTAGATCTTTTAGGTAGGTTTTGAATGAACAACCTTCCTTGACTTATGGCAAGGTTTGGTGAAGCAAAACTTTATAATAGCTCTACTTATAAATGTTTTACATTTTATGCTGTAATGGAATTTAATGAAGATGTGAAATATTGTTTCCTCCACAATTAATGAGATGTGAATATTTGTTTCTCCACACTTACAAAATCTGCAGAATTTTCCTTCTCTTCCTTAATTTTCTGCTCTTCTAAACCAACAGTTTCAGTAAAAGAGGTGAGTGAAATTTTATTAAGAATGAGTTAGTCTGTTTGGAGCAATTTGTTTAAGCTTTCCACACAGCCTCTCACAGCTGCTTCATACACTCTTCTTATACTATCATCTTCATCAAACTTTATGATCTCCATTCTCTCTTTATTTTTGTGTCTCTTTCTCCCAATGGCCAGTTACTGATGTTTCTATGAATAGGAATGACAATTGTACATGAAACCACCTCGATCTTGATACTGTGAGGAGAAAAAACAAATTTACAGATGTAAGTGCATATATGATCTGGTAATAAATTCAAGATCGAATCTTTAAATAATCAAAAAAATCTTTGTAACCTGGCTCAATAATAATATATTATTTATTAAAAATCAATTTATTTTTCATATTCATGTATTTGAATATTGTAACTTTAATAAAAAAAAAAAAAAAGGAAAAGAATCATGTGTAATTTGTATATTGTTAATTTTTTCATAAAAAAAAAAAAAAAAGGTAAAGAATCATGTATTTGTATATTGTTAATTTTTTCATATTCATGTATTTGTATATTGTTAATTTTTTTTTTTTTTTTAAAAGGTAAAGAATCAACTTGAATTAACTAGAATCAAGGATTACAACATTAGAAATGAAAACAAGAGGGCCAGAATCCCACTACCTTAGATCAAGACAGGGTAGAAATTGGTCGCAAGTAGGTATGCAACACTATTTGCTGATGTTCTAGCAAAAGTATGAGCATAATGAGACGGTTCTTTTAAGTGATTATTATTTCAGTTTGATTATTATTTCTTCAGCTGGTTGCTTATGTTTTGGGCTCACAAAACTCTCTTTCTAACAAGTAGTTCTAAATCGAATGTTTAGCACATGCCATGATCAAGTCTTGGAAACCATGAAAACAATACAAGACAGTTACAACTGATGAATAAGAAGTTGAAAATTAACCTTAATTAATTAAACATTAAGGTGTTCATCTGGATTTTTTAGCTGCTCTAGCCTCAACAGCTTCTTCTGACGACGAAGACTTCTCAACCTCCTCGTACACCAAATGAAAAATCGAATTACAGGACTTAAACTAACCACAGTAATCGAACCCAACCAACTGAAAGCCCACACTGGATGCATCCAATGATTTCGGCGAAGAATATGATCGGGAGTCACCATATCCATCGACACTACATAAGCATCTGCTGCAGAATGTACTGTAGTACGCATTACTGCTATTAAAACCCATGTGCATAACTTATTCTGGAGAGGGAATCCACTAATTATCAAAAACACAACCATAAGTGATCCAACAAAAGCAATGCTATTGTAAATCATGAACAATTCGAATGCCGATTTGTAGGTGTAACCATATACTGCTGTTCCTGCCAAACAAAGATACTTTTTGCAGTTTGAATTGCCATTCCTGTTTGTATAATCTTCTTGCCATAAGCCGCCAGGTGGGCTTATAATTGCTTGAAAAGTCATTGCGGCTACTGGAGTTGCAACTGCATTTAACTTACCTTGAGTTTCTTCAATACAGTTACTACCTTGATGCTCCATGTAATTGATGAACTTCCTGAACCATGCTTTTGGCCCTGATGGTGATTTTATGGGAACTGTAAAAGTTGCAGCTGGTTTTACTGGTGGGAGATTGCTTGGAGTTGGAGTTATAGCTTTTTTTGGCGCCTGATTCTCTGAAAACGCCTCGAATTTCAGGACTTTTAAAGTCTTTTGGAGAGTGATCTAATACATCCAAGGCTGTGACACCCATCCTACTTATGGTATTTACTTTTGCTTTGATACTAGGCACTGCAAGCAGGTACCTAATTGTCTGCACAAACAAAATATGTAGGCAGAAGGTCAGGATTCAAAGTTTGAAGCCAAATTTCTTTTAAGATTCTCAAAATATACCAACAATAAAAATAATGCTCAGAACTGTTTGTTTGGTATTACTGTTTGAATTATTGTTAATAAAAATAATAAAGGTGACCCCAGTAGCATCTCACATGTGTGAGCTCTGAGGAGGGGTGATTTATTCAGCCTTTCCTGCTTTTTTTTTTTCATAGAGAGGCTGTTTCTGTGGCTCAAACATATGGAAATATTTAACGAATACTAATATTGCTTTTACTATTAATTCAATTGAATATTTTGTAATAATAAAATCTTTTAAAACAGCTAAATAACTCCAAGTGTGGTTAGAGAAAAGTTAACCTCTAATTGCTTCAGCATGGAAGCTATATGCAGGATGGTGTTGCCATCTTGATTTCCCTTATTGACAAACTCTGAATGGTTGTATTTTACGCACGAATGTAAAACTGTATCTCCTTCTAGCAATTTCCAAGTGGACTCGGGACATGCATTGATCAATTCTTGAATAACCTGAACTCTGCCTCTCATGGCAGCTAATGCAAAGGAATTCTGCCATCTTGATCACCAACCCAACAAACATCATTCGTTACACGTAACAGAGCTTCGACGATCTCTGCATGTCCCTCAGCCAAAGCCAGATGAAGTGGAGAGCGTTTGAGAGAGTCAAACTCAAAGGCCATATTAGGACATTTTTCAAGAACAGCTGCGAGTGAAATCAAGGTGACCAAGTAAAGAAGATACATGTAAGGGAGTTTCAGTAAAAGAGGTGAGTGAAATTTTATTAAGAATGAGTTGGTCTGTTTGGAGCAATGCATTTAACCCGACATCATGAAAAATATTGTGCATCTAGCAATCCAATATTTAGCTCATGCAACAATCAAGAACCCGACATCATGAAAAATATTAAACTGCATGTCGTTCCTCTATTCTGTTCTCATTCTTCATTTTATGCCAAAACTTTCGCAGCTTCTTTACCGTCCATACTGCAAACCGAATCAATTCAATTATGCCTGCAACTAAAATCACCAATGCATAAACACTAATCACTTTGAAATCCATATTCGCCATTTTTTCTCTATATCTTGATGGAGTCACAATTAGCATACCATTTACATAGCTGACTAACAAAAACGACAACGTGATATTAATGGCTTGTGCTAAAAGCCAAACGCAGAACTTATTCTTGAGAGGAAATCCACCAACTATTAGAGCTATGACAGTGAGAGAAGCTGCAAAAGCAATACTATTGAAAGTGATATAATATATATATTGATCTGGATAAGCATAAGCTAAAACCGAAGTTCCAGCTTCACATATATTTGATTTGCTGCAAGCAGAACCGCCAGAGACATCTACAAAATCCTGTTGCCAAACACCACCAGGTGGATTCATTGCAGCTTGGAAAGTCATGGTTGCAATTACAGTTGCGACTATCATTAATGCGCCGCGTGTTTCTTCCACATTGTATTGCAACTGTTTCATGCATTTCTCAAACCATGATCTTTTCATTTCTGCAGTAGAAGCAAGAGCAGTAGCTCTTGGCTGTTGTGGTTCGGGTGGAAGATTGTTGTTGCTGCTAATTAGCTCGGCTGCTCTTCTTATACCAGCTTTTATTAAAATATCTTGAATTTGTAGGCTTTTGAAGTCTCTTGGACATTGATCTAACAAATCCAAGGCCGTCAATCCCATTCCGTTTAAGGCATTTGCTTTTCCTTTCACTGTAGGAAGGGAAAGCAAATACCTTAAAGTCTGCATATATCCATATAAAAATTTGTTTTAATTAATTCTGCGAATATACAACTCAAGAATATCTACTTTTTACACAAATATCTACTCTATTCAATTACTTCACAGTTATTGACACTGATCATTCAGCTACTAGTCCAGTAATTGATTGCAATCATTAAAAAACACAGTTATATATAGCTAGGATGAAAAATTAAATAATTACCTCCAATTGCTTAAGCATGGCAGCTAAATGCAAGATAGAATTGCCATCTTGATTTCCAAGGGAAAGCAAATACCTTAAAGTCTGCATATATCCATATACAAATTTGTTTTAATTAATTCTGCGAATATACAACTCAAGAATATCTACTTTTTACACAAATTAAATAATTCAGCTACTAGTCCAGTAATTGATTGCAATCATTAAAAAACACAGTTATATATAGCTAGGATGAAAAATTAAATAATTACCTCCAATTGCTTAAGCATGGCAGCTAAATGCAAGATAGAATTGCCATCTTGATTTCCTATATTCAATATCTCATCACCATTGATAAATGTCACCAATAACTTGAAAGCCTCCAAATGGTTATATTTTATACACAAGTGGAAGACTGTGTCTCCATCAAGAGCCTCAAAAGTGGACTCAGAACTTGCACGTACCAATTCTTGAATAACCTCAACTCTACCTCTCATGGCAGCCAAGTGGAGAGGGATTCTACCATCTTCATCACGAGCCAAGCAAGCAGTTTTATCTTGCAGTAGCAAAGCTTTGATTATCTGACTATGGCCCTCGGCAGAAGCTAAGTGAAGAGGAAAGCGTTTGAGAGAATCTTGTTATGATTAATCTCAAATAATTCCACAATAACCTAGATCGTGCAAATCACTAGATTCAACAAAATAGATTGAATAAGAAAAAGGTTGCGTACCTGACATCGTTGTTGTGATTTGTCGATCTTGGATGTGTTAGAATCTAGGTTTGCAGCCTATCCAAGAATTGAAAAGAATCGACTTTAGCGGAAAGCAATACGAAAGGGAACAGTAAAACTTGAATCGTATATTCAAACTCCGAGGGGACCACGACCTTTATTATACCTGTAGGGTAGCTACAATTCCTATTCGGTCCTTTAACGAAAATAGTAATTTATATAATTGGTTCTCTATCACTTAAATATCTTAATTAGTTTGATACCTTCAATAGTCAATTATTCACAATCAAGACCACAATTTGCGAAATTGACTTTACATTAGGACTGCTGTACATATTTAATTTTACATGATTAAGCCCACAATTTAGAAAATTAATCCAACAGATCTCCCACATCTGGGCGAAACATATGTTTAAAATGTTAAATAAAATACATACACCAAAATGAGCTCAACAAACGCAGTCATACGAGGTATCCAAAAACAATCTCGTCCATTAATTATATTGATAAAGAGCTGAAGAAACATTCGCCATAGATCTTATGACTAAGTTCATCATCAACTACCTTACCAATACCCCTAAATGACACAGATTCATTATAGAAGTGTAGGATGAAAACTAAATGTAATGTGATCATCATGTTTGTTTCCAACTGGTCACCAACAAAAGTGAGATCAAGCAAAACAATAATAATACAGAGTGTAACCATCAACCAAAATGAGTACTCAATAAAATTTCATCAACATAATAAAACATATCCAAAACAAAATAGAGCATTCAAAAACATATAGAGCATTCAAAACCATAATGTATACATAAAGAGCAGACTCCCACTAAAACTAGACAGTCTCAAACAAAACGATACCCATATGAGCGGTGTGCTCATGGAAAACTTTCGGTATCACTGCCTTTGCAAGCGGATCCGCAATCATAGAGTTTGTTCCAATATGCTCTAAGGATATCTGTCCACTCTGTACCCTCTCCTTCACAGCCAAGAACTTAATCTCAATGTCTCCTTCGTAGCCAAGAACTTAATGTCAATGTGTTTTGATCGAGAAGAGCTCCTGTTGTTGTTGGAGAATAAAACGACTGACCTGCTGTCACAATACAACTTCAGTGGTCTTTCTATTCCACCTACTACACGCAGCCCAGTGACAAGGTTTCTCAACCAAATAGCTTGATTGGATGCCTCATAAGATGCTACAAATTCAGCTTCCATGGTGGAGGTTGCTACGTTTGTTTCACCACATCTTCATGGTGGAGGTTGCCACTAGAGTTTGTTTCACACTCTTCCAAGAAATAGCACCACCAGCCAATAGAAAAACATAGCCAGATGTGGATTTTCTTCTGTCTTGGCATCCAACGAAATCAGAATCAGTATACCCAATGATCTCAAGCTGATCTGATCTCCTATATGTGAGCATATGTCCCTTAGTCCTCTGAAGATATCTCATAACTCTTTTGGCTGCTTTCCAATAATCCATTCCTGGATTGCTAAGATATCTACCTAACATGCCAACTATAAAAGAAATGTCTGGACGAGTACAAACTTGAACATACATAAGACTTAACATACATAAGACTTCCTATAGCTGACGTATAAGGAACCTTTTGCATTTCCTAAATTTCAAGTTCACTCTTTGGACATTGTTGATTACTAAATTTATCACCTTTTGCAATAGGGGTATCCAATGGTCTATTCTGGCATTACTAAATCTCTTGAGCACATTTATCATATATAGCTCTTTTTGATGCATTAATCCCAAGAATACCTCGAGAACGGTTCTTGATGGTATCTGAATCCCTAAAAATAAAAAGAAGCTTCACGCTAAATCTTTCATCTCAAAATGCTTTGAAAGAAACCTTTGGTTTCAATGCAGCAAGACTTTACATAGTTAGCAAGAAGTATGTTCATATCCACATATAAGAACCAAAAGAAAGATAAATTCTGTACTCCCACTGAACTATGGTACACACAATTTATCACACAAGCTATTTGCCCAAAAATCCAAACGAAGTTTGCCTCAAAGCCAAACGAGACAATTACTTAGTTGAACTTAAAGTACCATTGACGAGAAGCTCGCTTGAGTCCATAAATGGATTTCTTTAATTTGCATACCAGATGTTTTGGATCTCCAATTACAAAATTTTCTGGTTGCACCATATATATTGTTTCATCAATGTTGCCATTGAGAAACGTAGTCTTAACATCTATTTGATGAAGCTCAAGATCAAGATTTGCAACTAAGTCCATGATTGTCCTAAAAGAATCCTTCGAAGAAACTGGAGAGAAGGTTTCTTTATAGTCAGTCCCTTCCTTTTGAGTAAAGCCTTTTGCTACAAGACGTGCGTTATATCTTTCCACATTACCTTGAGAATCCCTTTTGGTTTTAAATATCCATTTGCAACCAATGGGTTTCTTTCCTTCAGGTAATTGAACAAGATCCCAATTGAAAACAAGGTATCCCAACTTGAATTGTCTTGCAATAGGACTTATTACTCTTCGTTCCATTGCCTCAACTCCCACTTCATGAGAGTCAGAAACTCTGCATGGCCATGAATAGAAACTAAGCTGGATCAATACATACTATACATGTACTACAGTATTCCTCATGTTCCTAAAGAAACACTATATATTAAATTCATCTGGGAATAAGGCACACTTCTTCTCTCCCTAGTAGATCTCCTCAAAGGCATTTGAACAGACTCTAATTCTTGAGGTTGTTGAATTTGTTCTTAAGGAAGAATAGCATTGTCTGGAATTGGATCTTGAATAGTGACAGGAGCAACTGGAGTCTGTACGCTATCAGAAACAACAAAAGGAATGAGAACCGAATCATCCTTACTTGGTTCCTCTTTAAAGACAATGTTTCTTTCTTTATTTCTCCCTCCAAAATCAACATCCTCAAAAAATGTTGCAATTCTCGTTTCAAAAAAAAGTTCTGGAAGTAGGATTATAAAGAGAGTCCAGGATTATAAACTTGTAACCCCTTAGGACCGACTCAGAATATCCACAAAGCTAGCTGCCTGATATTTTTGAGAGTCCAGTTTTTGCTTTCATATCGGCTTGTAAGGACCTATGTCTGCTCAGGACTGGACATCCCCAAACATCGAAGATAGCCTTTAAGGACTAAGGCTCTACGTTCCAGTCACAACAAGATTCATCGAACGTAGTTTTAGGCAACTGCTTTGATGGAATCCTTATTTGATGATAGATAAGCTGCGAATGTCTTTAGCGGCTTCACCCCACAGAGACTTCTGGATAAAGTAGAATGACTAATCATTACTCCTTACCATATCCATGAGAGTCCTTATTACGTCTCTCAGAAACACGCGATTCATGCTTGGGAGTACCAGGCATGCTATCTATTGAGGGACAATTCCCACATCCTGTAGCGAAATAAGCGCACAAAAGGTCTGGACGTTGTTTCGCCGGACACCGTCGTTTTACCATAATATTTCACCACCCATGGTCAGATTCGAACAGGATTTAATCTTTCTATTCCATAGATTGATTTTCAACTTCGCAGATTTAATCTTCTTTCCTAGTTGATTTTCAACTTCGGCTTTATAAGATTTAAACACGTCCAAAGACTCAGATTTTTCATGAATGAGATATAGGTAACCATAACGAGAATAGTCATCAATGAATGATATAAAATATCTTTGGCCATTTCTAGCTGCAATATGGAATGGACCACAAATATCTGTATGAATCAGTCTGTATGACCGAATGGCACCTAGTCTTTTTTATTTAGTCTGTTTTCCTTTAATACACTCAATACAAGAATCCAAAACTGTGTAATCAAGTGTATCTAAGATACCATCAGAAACAAGACGCTCAATTCTTGATTTGGATACATGACCCAAACGTCTATGCCAAAGTACAGCTGAGTTATCAATATTCAATTTTCTTTTGGTACCTCTTGTAGTAACATGCAGGGATTCATGATAACTAGTATCAATGTCTAACATATATAGATTATCACATTCATTCAAGCAACCAGTTCAAGCAACCAGTACTCAAAACTTTTGAATTCATAGATAAAGCTGTCTCCAAAAGAACAATGAAAACCAGATTTGTCCAAAAAGGAAACAGAAATCAAATTCCTTCTAAAAGAGGGAATAACAAAAGTATCTATGAGATCCAAAAAATAACCAGTACTTAAACATAATCTAAAATGTCCAATTGCCTCTACTTCAACCGGATTGCCATTTCCCACATAGACGTATTTTTCACCGTCAGTTGGCTTTCTGTGGTTGAGGCAGCCCTGCAATGAAACACTTATATGAGCGGTAGCACCAGAATCCATCCAATAAGTGTTTTTAGGAGCTGAAGTTAAATTAACTTCACAATCATAACAGACTAAAACAAGGTACTTGCCCCTCTTTGCAAGCCAAATAGCAAATTTAGGACAGTCCTTTCTCAAGTGATCCGTAATGCGACCCTAGCTAATTAACAAGTACTCTTGCAAATCAACAAGGAAATCTAGCGGAAAGCATGCAATCACGGAAGTACGCGTCAATCCCTTTAACCCCCAAGTACTCTTGAAGAGACAAAAACAAGGAATTTAGAACAAGAATCAGAAACTTACCTTCAAGTACTCTTGAAAACAACTCTGAAATTCTTGGCGCAATTAATCTTGTAGAACTCACAATGAGCTCGTTAAGAGTCCATTAGTCCATTTATTCGGCTGACAATTATAGGAAGTCCTAATTTGTCCATACTGAGAAGGAAGAGAATTCATAACCAAATGGACTAAAAGGTCATCTGGTAAAGCCATACCCAGCACCTTCAGTCTCTTTGCAATCTGAGACATGCTAAGAATATGCTCCCGAGCACCACCATTGCCAGCAAACTTCATGGAGGTTAATTTTCCTAAAAGTGTTCTCACTTCGGCTTTGTCATTCTTGACATAAGCCCTCTCCAGCTCGGCAAGATAGTTTTGAGCATTGTTCTTTTCAGCTGAGACAGAGTCTCGAACAGTCTCGACACAGTTCTGGGAAT